GAGCATTGACTGCACAGGACAGTACTGGAAAGGTGACAGTGCTGATTTTTCAGAAGTAAGCATTATTGCAACATTAAGATTCAAAAAAAAAAGAATGTTGACACGAGATCTTAAAATATTTATTACACTATACCTTCAAAAGAAACCACTTGAGAGCCTGTAACTTTCACTCAAATATAACCTAATTCCTTCATCACTAAGGACATGTCTAACTACTCAAACAATGAGCTCAGTTTTAAGACCTGGTGTCAACATTTTTTTTTTTTTGGAGGCAGGGTTTCTCTGTATTGTTTTGGAGGCTGTCCTGCCTCTGCCTCCCAAGTGCTGGGATTAAAGGCGTGAGCCACCAACGCCCGGCCTGGTGTCAACATTCTTACTGTTATGTGGTTTTCTACTCCTGTTTTGAACCTTAATGTTGCAATTATGCTTACTGTGAAATAGAAACCAACTTGGTTTACCAGGCTTCAAGTGAAAATCAGCTGAGACAATGACTTATCTGCCAAGTGGCTTCACAACATAAATCAGTCAAAGCAGTCTCCAAGACTTTTAAGCACTGAGCCATTGCTGAATGAGAATAGCTTATATGCTTTCAATGTGTTTACTTTCAAAAGTCAATTTGTTGTAAAAATGTTCAAAAGCTAACGTTTACTCATGTAGTACTGGCATTCTCATTTTGTTCTGATCCAGAGGGACTCTCCCTTAACATTAGTCCCTTCAGGAACAAGACAAGCCACTGGTTTAAATTAGAATAGTGACTCTCAAGAATGAAACCTATAGAATGTTTTTAGGGATGGACAAAATGCAGTAATAATCTCTGGTTATCAGAAGCCTATAGTGGAGTACGGAAACCACACCCGGGAATCACAAGTTGCTATTAAGGCAATAGGGGCTGTAGCAGGGCTGTAACAGGGGCTGGGAATGCAGCTCACACAGTTGGTGGAGTGTCTGCCCTACATTCCTATCGAGGACAACACATGCAACAGCTGTGAGAGTGGCTCGACCTTGTAATCCCAGCGCTTCTTAAAGCATAAAGGATCAAAATTCAAGGAGGTCAAGGTCAGTCCTGGCTACTTGAAAGCCTGTCTCAAAAAGTAAACAAACAGTCAAACAAAAAGCAAGTATGATGTCCAAAAGAGACAAGATCAAAACAATACCTAGTCTCTAAAACTGCTAAAAACAATTTCCAATAAGTAATGAAATATGTAATTTACTAAAATCCCACAAATTCAGGAACTAATAAATATTTCATTAAGACACTGCTCAACATCAAAAATGGTATCTACCACATACTCCAAATACACTTTCTCACACTAATACCTGGAGAATAGGAATGGATATTCCAAGACTGAACTTCTGTAACAGTTTCATGGACTCCCTACAAAGACACTACAGCTTTTTCCCCTCACTCTATTTATACCATTGTTTTTTAAGATTTATTTATTTATTATGCATACAGTGTTCTGCCTACATGTAACCCTGCAGACTGGAAGACAGGACCCAATTTCATTACGGATGGTTGTGAGCCAACATGTGGTTGCTGGAAATTGAACTCAGGACCTCTGGAAGAACAACCAGTGTTCTTAACTTCTGAGCCATATCTCCAGCCCCTATTTGTACCATTCTTACGTTTAAGTTTTATTAAATTGTAAGGATCCTCTCAAGACATTCTTTTCTTTTGTTTTTGAGCACAATGAAAATAAAAACTATGGATCCAGAAATTGTGAATCATTCTTCTAATCCCATAACTCAGGAGGCTGAGGCTCTAGGGTAAGGTCTTGTTTCAAAGAAAGTCAAAGAAAAAAGTATACATTACACAGACATGGATAATGAACTTCAAAGATGTACTCTGAATTCAAGAATAAAGGATGATTTTATGGGAGTCAGTGGGTGCCTGTGGGTTTTGGCCAGCAATATCAAGATTCATTCCAGCCAGTTCTATGTAAGAACCAAAATTTGAATAAAAAAAAGATTTGTATATGGTATATTTCGTTTCTATTGTAAAGGATTATGGGGATATGGTATCTGTTTCATTCTGGGAATAGAGATATATGAGGTGAAAGTGTTACAAAGTAAGGTATAATTTAGCAAATGACTAAGTCAGAAAAAATGGGGAACAAACTGCTTGCAAATGGAAATAATCAACAAGGATACACATATAAAGGAAACAAAAGCCAACAACTATTTGGGAATTCATTTATGAAGATACAAAAATGCAAGCAACTAGACCACTACTAGGCCTGTGTCCAGTCAAAACTTCTAAGAAAATTTCCAAGCAAAAGGTTACATTGAGTTTGACTTCTAAGAGTATCACACAACTCTTGGCAAATGATGTACGTCCAACATTTGTTGAATGATTAAGCAACAGAATTTGGTAAGGAATAATTTCAACTCTAAAGGAACTCACTATAAATTGATGAAATAATTTATATATGTTTTCTTGAGTAAAAAAAATAGTAATGAGTTGCATGGACCACATGGTGACCATTGCTGGTTGACAAAGTTCCAGCATTTCAACATTGCATACCACAATTCTGCAGCACCTTTTTTTAATGGTTCTCACTATGTGTTATTGGAATTCCCTTCTGCCTTTTCCTTTCATAAATTTTGTGTGGGTTTTGAAGGATGAAACTGTATACAATGGCAGTCTCCTTAAACAAAATAATTCTTTGGAAACTATGCCGACCACTGTGGAACCATACAGTGTGATGACTCTGCACACAGGAATCCCCATCCTGGTTACACCGAGAACAAGTAAGAGATTTACTAACTGGATACACTTGACCCCAAGGATGAAACACATACAATCTAGATCAAGAGCCTGAGGCCATTAAAGGCATTAAAGTATAGAGAAATCAGAACATGTTATAATGGCAAAAGGGTAAGATATCAGGACCTTCCTCCTTTTTTGGGAGCTTATGAGAGGAACAGGCCCATTTAGACTCAAAGGAACACAATTAGGGAACACCTCAGTACTTATGCTGCATCATGCCCCAGGGGAATGAAAATTGTTCTTCAATTGTAATGGAGTGTCAAAACTCCAAGGAAGTCCTTTTCCCAAGGTCAAGTACTTGGATAAAGGCCTCCATTGCCCTGGAAGCTTGTGGAAATTTCCCGTTTGCAAAACACAGTCATTCTTATCTCTAGAAGAACTTGTGGACCTTCCACTAATGTAAGCAATAGGCATTTAGATACTTGCTCAATGACAGATTGGCTCTGCTCAAAGGCAGATTCCTTTGCTTTGCAGGCTTATCCATGTAACAAAGTTATCAATGGTACCTATCTGAATGACCAGGATGTGGAAGCAAAGGAGTTTGTGCTTTCCCACACTGAGGAAATAGCTGTTGTTTATAGTCCTCATCCTCTCACCCCTCACCCAAAAGAAGGACCTATTGAAAGCTGGATGGTGGTGGCGCACGCCTTTACTCTGAGCACTCTGGAGGCAGAGGCAGACAGATATCTGTGAGTTCGAGGCCAGCCTGGTCTTCAAAGCTACACAGAGCAACTCTGTCTCGAAAAACCAAAAAGGACCTATTGGAATGTGGGAACAAACGGAATGGTCATAGAATTTGGCTAACAAATTGTTTACTGATGGTTCATGAAACACTGATGGAACCAAAACTGAATGGAAAGCAGGAGCCAATATACTGGTGAATAGATTGGTTATTACTAAAAAGGAACCACCAAACCAGCAAACCTGCTAAAGTAATAGCAGCACTGCTGACTGTAAGACAAACAACTAAGGAAGGCAAAAGGAAAATCTGTATCTTCTCCAATTCATGGTGTGTGTGCAATGGTATAGCTATATGGTCATCAAAATGGAAAACCACTACCTGGCAGATAAATGACAAATACATTTAGTCAAGGGTGGCATGGGTGGTAATAGCAAAACACAGCAAAGACATCAAAATTTATGTAACCCATGTAAATGCACACACAAGTAAGACCTTTGACAAGGCATCTAAAAATAATGTTATAGCAGCCAAATTGACATTATGTTCAATTAAACTAGAATATTAAGACTTGCTAGGGAACAAATTCAGAATAAAGTATCAAGGATGACAGATCTCACAGCTGGTAAACTTGAAAGTTTATCCCTAACATTAAAAAATGAGGAGAAATAAAGAACCAAATTAAATCTGGACAACCCTATGAGAATAACATAAAATGAACCTAGACTAGAAAATTAAGAAACCTGAGAATGTTAGCATAATTAGTAAAGAAGAAATCCTAAGATTGCATAAAACACTGGAATATATAGGTACACATAATTTGATAAAAAGGAACCTTAAGGTATCCTGGCAGTTCTGCATAGAAGCCACTAGAGACTGCCAACTTTGTCCAGCACTTAAAACTAGATTCAGACAGCAAGTACCAGCTGTAATATAGTCTCCTAAACAATCCAACTATAAACTACAAATAGATTCCATTGGACCCATGAATATTTACAGGGGCTTATATGTAAGCATGGGGCTTCATAGACCAGACCAGTTGACAACAAAATACACACTCTGGTGTTGGATAGTCACATACAGCTGACTAATTACTGAGTCAGATCAAGGGACACATTCTATAGGTTCTAAAGTCCAGAGGTGGTCCTAGACTATGGACATAAAGGGGTCTTCTACTTAGCATATATTCCAACTGCAGCTGGCAATATTGAAAGATAGAATGGACTCCTTAAAACCAAGTTATTGCAACTCAAACATACACCTTAAGAAAGGCTATTGAAATTGCATGCTATGAGTTAAATACTAGACAAAGATTAAATAGAGTTTCTTTCTCCCTTAGGAGAAGCTATTAAATCAGACGTAGAGATTGAACAACAACCAGATACTTCCTGGGGATGCAGAACAATCCCCCATAAATGTGTTTATGGGAACTGCATGGCACCCAAAACAGGAGGCTAACACCCATTTTGTACCAGTTTTGAGAGTCATAGTCATCAATGATGAAGAGGAGGCTGAAAACACCAATTTTAATGAAAAAAAACAAACACCTACTTGCCATTTTACACAGACTTGGAGAAATATCGCAGCAATAGCATCCATCTACAGCTTCAACTAGAGAGAAATATTTCTTAAATCGTCCTCCCACCTTACAATGAAGAACAAGAGGAGAATAAGATTTGAGAAGACAGATGTGAAAACAGCAGCAAACACAAAATTCCTCTCAGCATTCTTGGTCCCATTTATATGACACACAAATGCTGTGTTGGCTACCAGTACAATAAAACTAATGGGATTGTGAATAAAAATGTAGACAATTATCCAGATCAGGACCAGAATAAGGAGCCAGGTTACCTGTCTGAGGTGACATCAACATCAACCACAACAAATCCATAAGAGCCCATGATTTGACAGAACTGTACCTTTGCCCCAGACACTGATAGGAGAACACCATGGAAGCATTTTCTCTTTTCAAATACAATACCACTACCATATGAATTCAAATACCCAAGTTCACTTTTTGGACTATACCCACAACTGAATAGGCCAAATTCCCCCAACCTACCCTACTATGGTAAGATGGACATATGGAATAACTACCTGATAAGGAAGGCAGAAAATGAAAATTATTTATTTTCACTTATTAATGAATGGCTAGAAATTACAGAATTTGGAACACAACATTACAGATTTCCATTTATCTTGACAGACCCAGACACATACCCATTGATCTTAACTGACCCTTTGCCTCTTATGATATTGAAGCCTCACCACCTGAGGAAATTTTTGAAGAAAAATTGTATGATTTGTATTATACAACTAAAGCAACTTGTTTTCCTCTAATTGCTTAATGAGTCACAAGCACTTTTGAAAACAAACGTATCCCTGTTTTTATGTGAATGTTTGTATGTTCAAGAGAATGTCTTCTATATATGTACAGGTGATGCACCAGAGAAGAGTGTGTCAGGATCCCCTGGACCTGAAGTAGCAGGTGGTTATGAGCCTCCCAACTTGGATGCTAGGACCCAAACTCAGGCCCTCCCCAAGAAGACTATTGCTGAGTGACCTACCAAACCCCATAATACTTTTTAATCCAATAATCTAAAAGTCTTTCACATATTACCCACAATAACAAAGCCTAAATAAAGAAGCAAATAAACGATCCTTGGGAACATGATGCATCAATATTAAGATGTTGTATATGGTCAATTTACACCATACATTGAATATAATCCAAAGAAAATGCCCAACAATTTATAACAGGAAAGCTGATTCCAAAGCTACATGTAAAGTGGAAATACTCAGAATACACAATGATTATGAAAAAAATTGTACACACATTGACACAATATGACTTCTGTATTTACCACAAAGGGTACAATAATCAAGAATGAGTACAATATTTGTGAAAGAGTAAAGGAGATGGAGAGAAAACGCTAAGAACAAAAGCACAAAACCATAGTTAACTTTTAATCAAAAGACCAAAGGAAACTCAGCCAGAAGAAAAAAATGTGAGTTTGATGAGTGTTACCCCATTACTTACGGTTTTATGTGTACAGAAATTAAATAAGCACAGACTTCACAACTTCCACAAAATTAATTTAAAGTGACCCTTAAACTGTTGTTTCTGACCCTTCAGCTACCGATAATTCTTCCAGAGAAAATTCATGCTCTAGAGTCCTCTCTGCAAATAGAGGTGATCACCTCCAGAGCCAACTGTGACTCTACAGACCCTCATTCCTCTTGTGGTTTCAGGCAAACCCAGCCCCAGTGATGCCCAATCACAAAACAATGTAGAAGAATAATTTAATGTCTGCATTCTGCCACATGGATTATGGCACAAATATGGAATCTGTCCTATCCACCTGCACAACACCATATAAACCTGGGTTACCTTTGGAGCTCAGAAAGTCCTTTAATCCCCTGGAACTGAGCTTACTGAATCATGCCATGGTGGCTGGCAGTAGCAGAAGTTAAAAGCATTTAATCATATGTTGCTAAAGGCTGAACCCCATAACCTCCTTTCTACCAGTTTAGAAACTACCTAGAATATTTATAAGACAAACCTGAGAGTAGAAAGCAATGTTCAGAACTTCCAGAAGCCAGACCTTCAGTTTTCCAATCTTTCTTCACACTGCACATCAAAAACAGTGCCTGAACAGTGATATTACAAGCTCACAGCCTCCCATGCCAGCATAGCAGAGCCTCCCCCTCCCCAGGGAATCCACACTCAGCAAGGCTCAGAGGCCAAACTCCACTGCCCAGGTCACCACAGTGACCAATGGAACCATATTTTGGCTCATGGTCCATCCCAGTCCCACCAGCTGGGACTCTGACAACTCAGCAAACCTGCTCTTCCTGGTCTGGGAGCAGTGGCCCCCACACTCACCATGGAATGGCTGTGGTCTTCCCCACAGCAGAAACAGGAGAGTCCTGGAAAGAACTTGTAAGCTACCTCCCACGGGTGCTCCTAATGGCTAAGTCTTCCAGAGTCCCTCATTCGCTTGGACCACCCAGAAGAGTCTCAGGACATTAGCAGTTACCCTACTAGGGGAACAGAGATCAAATGACTCAGACCCCACAAGCCCTCCCAGCTCTGCCCTTCCATACTGCAGAGCCCTCGTCTGGGAAACTGTAGTTTAGTAGAATCTTCCACTCTCCCAGAGCATTTGCTATTTCTCTTCGAAAGCATAGGGTCCTTTCTGTGTATATTTCATTACACACTCAAAGTCCAATGCAGTCAACCTTTTGGGAGGTCCTGCAGCTAAACACAGGTCACATTCAAACTATACTTGTTGTTAAAACAACAAAAGGCCATGGACTACAACAAAATGAAGGGTCACTGGGAGGACTTGGAGGCAGGAAAAATAGTGGAAATGATGTAACTGTAATCCCAAAATATCCTGTTAAAAAGTTGAGTCGGGCTTTGTGGTCACCTGCTCCAGAGATTATGGATTTGTATTAGAGCACACCAAGTACTACTCATACCATTTCTCTCAAGACGTACATCTTAAACCTGGAGAACATGTTAGGCAGGGCTATAAAATTTTATCCAGATCATCTATTTTGGTTGAACCAGTATAACTACAGTAGTTTGGTTAAATTAAGTGCCAGACTGTTAATCACCCATCTGTGAACCTCAGAAATGACTACTCAGGACATTTATTGATAACCTAAAATTGAATACCTCACTACTCATTGCTCATGTCAGCTACTGTCAAAGCAGAAAAGCTTCTTGCCCCTCTTTCTGTGCTGTGACAACAGGTGTTTACACTTGGTCAGTGAACTCAATTCTTATACAGGTCCCTCTTCCTTTGTAAGTTCCCAATAAAAGTCAGAGAAATTGGACCACACTCTCACAGACTTGTCAAAGCCCAGCCTGGAAAGAGTTGCAGGACTGTCTTCCCAGCCCTGAGCAGATGAAAGATTAAGTGTTCTCACTTACACAGTGTGAGGCAAGCCTGAGCTACAGCAGACACTGATCTAACCAGTGCTTCTCAACCATCCCAATGTTGTGACCCTTTAATGCAGTTTCACAAGTGGTGACCACCCCAACTATAAAATTATTTTCACTGCTGCTTCATAACTATAATTTTGCTACTGTTATGAACTGTAATATAAATATCTGTGTTTTCTAATGGTCTTGGGTCACTCCTGTAATAGGGTCCTTTGTTTCCCCCAAAGGAAGCCTCTACCCTACCCCCAGGTTGAGAACCACTGTTTTAAACTGATATAAATAAATAAATAGCACTTACAACAAAAATGGAATGAAATTCTTAATGACAAGGAAACACTAAAAATATAAACAATAGGGATTAGAGCAGTAATGTATTTAAAGAAAGTGAAATTTTAAAAATGTAACCAATAACTGACTTTAAAATGGTAAGCATAATTGGAAGAACATTTAGCTATACTAACTTTGAAAGAGAGTAGGCACTTACCTAGTAGAGAGAATGCCATTAATAAGACATTGTATGGCTTTGTTCCATGAAAAATGTTAGCTGCTGAGTGCTGTAAATTGACAAAGCTATACAGCCAATGGCCTGTGTCTCAAACCTCTCACCTGACTTAATTGTGTCAACCAGGATTGTACACATCTGCATAGGAGTGTTCTCTAACTGAATACCCAATAGTTCATGCTATCCTCCCTAAACTGTACACCCACCAATTCTGTCTGTCTTCATGGAAGGAACTATACATGTTGGGAAGTTACACCAAAGGTCACTCACTGCCCCATGGGGTCCTTCTCTATGATGGAACCCCTGCAGCTCCCTGCCTTCACTTCAGCCTGTGACCACGCTACTGTCTAGTCTGCTTTCTCCTGCAGTGTGCCCGTACACTGTCCCTCCTCTTCCCATCTGAACTGAGAAGCCCTACTCCACACACAAATCCTTTCCCAGTTACTGCAGTGGACAGTCAACTATGTTACTCAAACCAATCATTTTAGAACTCTGTGGTGTCCAAGAATTTAGGGGTGGTTAGTCAGGAGGATAGCACGGACAATGCCCTGTGGGGCTACAGACGGGGTTCAAGTCCATCTCAGTCAACATAGGCAACCTTGACTCAAAACCGCTTTTCAAAAAGGCTGGAGATGCAGCTAGAACTAATACGCCTTTATGGCACACCAGGACTTAAGGTTGGTTGTGAACCAGTAACGGCCCTGTGAGCAGCATGATAGAGGCCTGATCTTTGCTGGGGGGCAGACACAGCCTATTGGCTGATTGTAAATTATAGTTGTCTCCTTTGTTATGGGAATTGTAGCTTAATGGCTGGTTAATCCTGGTGAACAAACATTTACATCTTGTCACATAGTCTAAAAGGCTTGGTTATCACAGTACTTATCTTTGGGGTATCCGGGAGACAGTCCTCTCTTAGCTTAATTCTACTTTGTGATTTAATGCATCCTAAGAATTGGTAAATCCTTATACCGCCAATTCTACTCTCCCACATAAGAGTTTAGCAGTGGAGATACCATCTACAAGCTCCACAAAATTAACTTCAGATGAATCCTAAACCTAAATGGTTAATGGTAAAAGTGCAGAACTTCTTGAATATACCAGAGAGACCAGGGCTCTCCCAGTCTGACAAATCTGCCTTACATAGCAACAACACAAGCACTATAGACGCAGGCATTTCAGTGACCTCTTAGTGAAGTTACTCAGAGGCTGCCTCCCTGGCCCAAGGAGCTGCAAGAACAACGCAGCACCACACGGGACACGCAGGACCACACAGGGTACACGGGACCATATGGGACACACAGGACCACATGGTACACGCGGGACCACAAGGGACACGCGGAACACAAGGGACACGCGGGACACGCGGGAACACAAGGGACACGCGGAACATAAGGGACACGCGGGACCACAAGGGACACGCGAGACCACCAGGGACACGAGGGACCACAAGGGACACGCGGGACCACAAGGGACACGCAGGACACGCGGAACACAAGGGACACGCGGAACACAAGGGACACGCGGGACACGCGGGAACACAAGGGACACGCGGAACATAAGGGACACGCGGGACCACAAGAGACATGCGGAACATAAGGGACACGCGGGACCACAAGGGACACGCGGAACACAAGTGACACGCAGGATACGCGGGAACACAAGGGACACGCGGAACACAAGGGACACGCGGGAACACAAGGGACACGCGGAACATAAGGGACACGCGAGGGACACGCGGGACCACAAGGGACACGCGGGACCACAAGGGACACACGGGACACGCGGGACCACAAGGGACACGCGGAACACAAGGGACACGCGGGACCACAAGGGACACGCGAGACCACCAGGGACACGCAAGATCACAAGAGACATGCGGAACATAAGGGACACGCGGGACCACAAGGGACACGCGGAACACAATGACACGCAGGACCACAAGGGACACGCGAGACCACCAGGGACACGCAAGATCACAAGAGACATGCGGAACATAAGGGACACGCGGGTCCACAAGGGACACGCGGAACACAAGGGACACGCGGGACCACAAGGGACACGCGGGACCACAAGGGACACGCAAGATCACACGGGACACGCGGGTCTACAGGGGACACATGGGACCACAAGAGACACGCGGGTCCACAGAGACACGCGGAACACAAGGGACACGCGGGTCCACAGGGACACGCGGAACACAAGGGACACAAGGGACACGCGGAACACAAGGGACACGCAGGATCAGGCAGGACATGAACTCTGATTCTGGCCGCGGGCTCCTTCCCGGCCGGCCGGCGCAGGACCCACACCCCTCTCCTCCCGCTGACAGCGGCCACTCCTCCCAGTCAGGGCACCGCGTCCCGCACTCACCATGGCGCAGCTGAGGAGCTTGCTCGCACTCTCCCCACAGGGAAGCCCACAGTGGCGACACAGCCCAACTTCCGACTTTCTCCGCAGAGGAGCTGAGCCCGGCTCCCGGAAGAACCCTCCCATCTGACTGGCGGGTCCGCTGGAGGCTCTGATTGGATACTGAGTCCTGAGTGACAGGACACGTTGAAGAGAAGGGACCCGACACAGTGCTACCCAGCCCTGGCTTCCACCCCAGCACATACCCCAGATTGGCTGGAGATTTCTGCTGAACTCACGGCAAGTCTCTGGCTAATGTAAACCAATGGGAAGTATACAAATATAGAAGGAAGCTGATCAGACAAAATCGCACGAAACAAACAGGGCATCTCAAGAACATTATAAAAAAGGTCCACAGTGGTGTTGGGACTGGTAACTACAGACAGCCCCATGTGTGGAAAGAGTTGGGTTCTGGGGATCTAAAAAAAACCCTCCACAAAGGCCTTGGCCCAAAAACTTTACCAGCTCTCTCAAGAATATCTCTAGTTTTGGAGAAGGAGTTCTGTTTTGGCTCTATACATCAGTCCCTAAAAGAAAGTTCCTGACGCACAGGCAGGTTGCCAAACTCAGAGAGGCCTAGTTTCTCAAGTATCTTCTAGAAGTTTTGCACTTCGAATTTGACAGGTCTAAGATCCATTTGTAGTTAATTTGTGGAAGTTGTAGATGACATCTCATGTACTGGGTATCACTCCACTTTGAAGTTTTGATGTACAAGAGTAGAATTGGTGATACAACGGTTTTACAAATGCACAGGAGATAGTGAATCACACAATAGGGAATTTAGCTAAGGGAGAGCTGCCTCTAAAATACCCCAAAGATAAGTAGTATGTTAACCAGGCCTGTTAGAGATTAGGATGCTAGGATGTAAATGATGGTTCACCTTGTATTGGTCCCTTCTCTATGGTTAAATGTTTATGATGTAACAAATGAAGCTTGCCTGAAGATCAGAGTGCAAAGCTAGCCATGCTAGTCAGCCACAGAACCAAGGCAGTGGTGGTTCACAACTTCAATCCCAGCAGCCACACCGGTTAGCCATAGAAGCTGGGCAGTGGTGGTGCACGCCTTTAATCCCTGCACTAAAGAGGAATATAATACGGGAGGAGACAGGAGCTAAATCAGTCTGAGGAAGCAATGTGAGGGCAGAATGGCCCCTTTGGTCCTAGTCTTGGTAGAGTTAAGAACTCCCTAGTGGTTGACTGCTTTGCTTCTCTGATCTTTCAGCTTTGCCCTTTAATATCTGACTCCTGTTTTTTATTATTATTAATGCTTATAAGAATTTGTGCTATAGATGCATGGAGAGGATAGAGAGACCCTCTGTAAGCTGAGGCATCATAGTTTTAAGAGGGATTTCTTAGTTATGTGGAACAAGATGCCATAAACATCAATGCAATGATGTTTTGGTATGTATTTTCTGTTCCTTTGTATTTCCTACATACATCCATAAAAAAACCAAAAGCATGATTATAGTAGTGGTGTCATGTATTAGACAAAGACTGTCTTGTGTTTTCTCAAAGGTTTAGTTTAACAAATTATATCTAGGAAATATTAATTTAATAATTATCTTATACAGTTTCAATTTGGCTTCCTTTGATTTAGCTGTTGCTCAGTGTTGAAAGTTGATAAGTATTGAATCCCAGGTTATTAGGTTCCTCTGCCAATGTGATAAGCCAAATCAAGTCAAATTAATAAACCTAGTTTTAATCAACAGACTAAAGCAAAGCAGAGCACTCCAGGGTAACTCTCAGGAAGGCAGGAGGGACAGCATGCAGCAGATCTAAGGGCCAGTCTTGAACAGTTCCAAGGTAAGAGCTACCGATAGTGGGCTTTCCTAGGGGCGGGATCTGGAATGGAAGGAGACTGAGTGAAGCTTCCCAACATACAGAACCATCTTTTTCCTCCCGCTCCCCTTCCCTCCTCCCCTCTCTCATTCCACACTCCATCCACCCCCAAACTTGGAGATAGATATGGATCTATGTGGTGATTCATGATTTATTAAAGCTTGCCTGAGGATTCAGAAAGCAAAGTCAGCCACAAGTCATAGAAATCAGGCACACACCTTTAATCCCAGCAGCCAGAAGCTAGGAGGTGGTGGTGCACACCTTTAATTCTAGGACTCAGGATTAAAAGGTAGATGGATCTCTATGAGTTCACAGTCACCTAGATCCATACAAGATTGATCCAGTCCTAAAGAGAAACAGCTCACACAAAGATGATCTCAACATCTGAGATTACATGACTTTAATCCCAGCATTAGGGAGACATATAAGACTGGAGTAAGGTCTCAGTATCCGGCATTTATTCTCCAGCCACATTGAGAATAGGAACCCTCCAGCCTGTTAAAGGTAAGAACTCTGCTGGCTTGGGTGCTTTGCTTCCCTGATCTTCAGGTTGAACCCCAATATCTGTCTTAGGGTCTTTTATTTATGATGTATGTAATAGATCTATATTTCCATTCTTCTACACCCAGTTATGACAGCACCATTTGTTGAAGGCGTGTTCTTATTTCCATTTTATAATTTTTGCTTCTTTGTCAAAAATCAGATCTCTCCCCAATAAAAATCAGTTAAACAAACAAAAGAAGTAGAAAGAAATCAGACGTTTTAAAATACTTTCTCTGTACCCTGATAATAGGTTTCTCTGCTGAAACAGTAAGCCAGATCAAGCTGCTGAAAAAGTAACAACAGGTTTATTTGAGCAAAGCAACTCCTGGCTAGGTTCTCCAGTTCCAGAGATCAATGCCAGAGAAGCCACACCCCAAAACTAAAGCAGGGAGATTATATAGCCTGTAGGTGAGGTCACAAGCTGGGTTTGTGCCCAAGCATTGTCAAAAGCTGTAATTTGGAATTTGGCTACTGGCAGCAAAATGGGAGGAAATTGCGATAGTCTCCAAGAATGTGGAACTGGGCGTTATGGCACCTTTTTTGTTGTTGTTGTTGGAGATTCTCTGAGAGAATAGGGTTTGGAAACAGAAAGAGACTAAAATGGGGCTTTCCAGATCATGTAGGCTCGAGCTGGAGGTTCCAACTGAAGAGTTTTTACCGAAGTTCCTACAAAGAGGTATGCATTCACTCTAGTTCTCAAGTGCCTTAGTTTAAACTATGGCCTTAATAAGATCTAACTAAAAGGGATTTGTTTCAACAGTTACAGATGGACAGATGAAAGCATTAGTGATGTAAATATTGATCATAAATACGCAGCACGGGGCAGTAGAGATGGCTCAGCAGTTAGAGCTCTGGCTGGTCTTGCAGGTAGGTGGGCTCAATTGCCAGTACAATTGAGGGCTCTCACAACTGCTCATTATTCCAAGCGGAGGGATTCTGAGGGCATCTTGTGACTACTGTGAGGGTCAGTCACACAAGTGGTGCATATCCATGCCCATAGACAAAAGACTCAGATTCACTCAAAGTCATTCAAAACAACCACAGTGGGTAGCAAGAATGCCACACACCTGTAGTTCAGTGACTCAGAAGGCTCAGGCAGTATTAACATCGTTCAGGTGTAGTTCTGCATCAAGCGCCCCCTCACTGCAAACCCTGTCCAGTCTCAGAAAACCTGTGAAATGGTAGCTCCTCCCCCAGAGATGCTCAAGACCACACTGCTGCCTCAAAAGTAAATTAAGTAGGTATATACATAAAGAAGGGCAAGTAGATGAGACAATCGTGAAAAACTATCAGTCACAGATTCTAGCAGCTGAAGTTGCTGATCGGGTCTGTTATCCTTTTTCTTTAGATTTGTTATTTTTATTTATGTGCATGCCTGTCCAAGTATATGCCATATTTTGCAGGTGTCTAAAGGGGCCATTAAGAGGGTCATCAGATGCCCTGGAACTGGGGTTATGGGCTGTTGTAAGCCACATGAGATGGGTGCTGGGAACAGAATCATATCGATGGCAAGAACAATTAAGTGCTGAGTCAGCTCTCCTGCCCCAATGTCCTTTAAAAATAATAACTCTCGAGCCGGGCGTTGGTGGCGCACGCCTTTAATCCCAGCACTCGGGAGGCAGAGGCAGGCGGATCTCTGTGAGTTCGAGGCCAGCCTGGTCTACAAAGCGAGTTCCAGGACAGCCTCCAAAACCACAGAGAAACCCTGTCTCGAAAAAACAAAAAATAAAAAAATAAAAACAATAACCCTCACCAATAACTTAAAAATGAATTTTTTAAATGTAGGCATTAAAACCTCGTGTTCAAAGAATAAACTGCAGTGTTGTCTGACTTCTGCCATGATTGTCTCGTTATTTTTGGAAAGTAGATTAGATTTAAAATCAGTTCAACAGAAGAGTCTATTGCTGCAGACCACTGCTTCTGTTAAACATAAACATGCTGCAATCAGGAGACTGTCTGTGGCCAAGACTGTTTCTGTTCTGTGTTTTAGCTGGATAGCTTCTTCCCTTAATCATGTTAACCCCCACACCACCCTACGCCGTCTTTCTGGTTTCCATCTGGGGCTGCAAATCAGATCATCTGGGAACTTAAAAAAATGAAAATAAAAATCCCCAGGTCCAGTCTCCAGACTGTGACACTTAGTCCTCTGAGGCAGAGCACTTGGGAGTTCAGTTACATAAGTGTTCTCTGCTGTAGTTAAGTTTCATGGAAGACCTGCACTCTGAATGCCTGACACAGTACTAACAATTAACTCTTAAGTAACTGGCATCTAACTCTTTAGTAACTATTTTCATTTTTGACACAGTTTAATTTCATACAAAAAATGAATTTTAACCAATTACTTGCAGAAAAACCAGCAGACTTTATAATCTCTCTTTTGGAATAGCTGAGAATCACAAAGTTAATAGAATGCTTCCTTTCTTTACTGACATCATGTCAGTGTGTAACATGGTGGACTCCTCTGGCAGAGACAGTTATCATTTGTGCAGTATAAAAAAGATCAATGTGACCTACAGAGTAAAGTCACTCCATGACTTTCTCTAGGTGAAAATAATTCTACTATGTAAATTTTTATTTCTTCTCATTCTCACTTTTGTAGCCCTAAAAACACTTGGGTCTGTGTGCTGTAGGTAAAACTTTAAATGATTTTTAGTAACTTTGGATAAATTCAGGGACAAAGTGTAAGCTTTTTAGTATTTTAATAACCTTGTTTAATGTGGGTGTGTGTGTGGTGTATGCATGTGTTTTGTGTGTGATATGAGTGCATGCATGGCCATGGCACACATGTGGAGGTCAAAGCAATCTCCCCTCACACATTGTCTTTGCTGCACTGTGTACCCTGGCCAGCTAGCTCATGACCTTACAGGGTTCTGTCTCCACCTCCCATCTTGCTATAGAAGCAGAGTTCACTCTGGGGTGACCAGTTTTACATGGGTTCTGAGGATTCAAACTGAGGACCTAGTACCTGCACAGCAAGCACCTTACCTACTAAGACACCTTTCCACTCACCACTCACTACCTTCTGAGTGAAATATTTCATTCCCTTTAACCTCGAGTAATTACGAAGTAAACATAGGGAAAACTCACTCTGGGGAAGGAGAGGGGTAATGATACTTAGAGAGGAAGTTCTAGAATCGGTCTTATTATTTTCTACTTAGAAAACCTCATTAATGCAGGGCACCTTGGAACACGCCTTTAATCCCAGCACTCAAATCTCTGAGCTCAAAGACAGCCTGATCTATATAGTGAGTTCCAGGGCTATGTAGAGAGACATTGCCAAAAAGAAAAAGAACAAAAGGAAACCTCATCAATTCCCAAACATGAAGTGAGGAGGCCCAGTCTGCTAGAATTACCAAAACTCTAGGTTCTACACAGTAGTTGGAAAATCTCTTTCGTAATATAGAGCATGGGCAGTAGGAAAGCTGAGATGGAAAACTGCTTGCTGTGCAAGCCTGGAAACCAGCGTTTGATCCTTGGGACTCACATAAAGGTAGAAAGGGAGAAGTGGTAACACAAAGTTGCCCTCTGATGTCCACATGCATAATGACACCCTCCCTCAATATACCATACATATACACACAATCACAATTATAAATTAATATGACTTTTAATAGGTAATAACAGGCATGGTGGTGACATGTGCTTAGATTCCAGTACTTGGGGTGGTGTCGCGACCGCCTCGACCAGCAAGGAAGACGCAACACTTGGACTCTTCTCCAAGCAGTTTATTCAGGAACCTTGAACAAATCTTCTGACCCCAGGGAGTGCCCGCCCACAGCTTAAAAAGGCCCTTGGGCGGCCAACCCCGGTAAGCCATGTGGCGACAGCAGATAGGTCCACATACGAGGAAGCAAGCCTGATATCCAGCCTTGACCAAATAAGGAGTTGTTTATCACAGAGAGCACTTGCTATCGGGCTAGCAGAAGGTGGAAGCCAGCACCATCTTAAGGGTGCGGCACTTCGCAGCTCTCTACAGGGTGGCAGTGTTGGGGTACCCCGAATTGAGGAGGGGTCCCCAAGCTGGATTTGTCACCCCAAGAATCAAGAGTCCACGTGCCAATTGATGCAACACACAAGAGGCTTTAATTAGGCATCTGCAGATGGGCCTCTCGGTCAGCTTTTAGACCGATTGGCCCCGAGGTTCAGTTACAATCAGCTTTTAAAGACAAAAACCACAAGCTTTTGGGAGGGGTCCCTATCTCGTGACGGGGGAAGGGGGTACGTAACTCCCGACCCAGGGAAGTAGATGTCTTCCTGACCTACAATGTTGTAAATTCCTCAAACCTTGGCATGAGTTAATTATCTCTCCCTAAGTAAATAGTGTTATCTCCTTGTTTCCCACTGGTCAGTTCTTCACAGATGGAAGCCCATAATTGGCCTTTTGTGGATTTACAGCCCTTCTGCAATTAAGGTTGCTAAACCATACATTCCATTCTGTGGCGATTTACAGCCCTTCTGCAATTAAGGTCGCTAAACCATACATTCCATTCTGTGGTATGGCCGGTTCCTGGGATGGGGTCCTTTGTTCACTTCCCAAGTTCTCTAGTGGGGTGCCCTCCCTGTTTAAGCTTATATTTTATTTCTATAAATTCAGGGTCTTTCAGCAGGAGAATAAATTCAACTCCAGCCTGACCTATAAAGGAAGCTAATTTCTCCTCTCTCTCTCTCTCTCTCTCTCTCTCTCTCTCTCTCTCTCTCTCTCTCTCTCTCTCTCTCTCTCTTGCTGAGAAAACATACTGTATATTAAAGTATTATCTCAAAATTCTTTCTGTGAAGTAAATATCAACAATGTAGGCTAGCTGAAAGCCTGAAAATTAACTTTTTGAGAATTTATTTATTTATTTTAAGTGTATGAGCGTTTGCCTGAATGTATGTCTGGGCACCACATGCATGAACTGCCCTCAGAGGCAAAAGAGGGCACAGTATCCCATGGGACTGGAGTTACAGCCTGTTGTGAGTGACTGTTGTCTGCTAGGCAGACCCCAGGTCCTCTGAAAGAGCAGCTTAACAGCTGAGCCATCTCCAACCTTTAGGCCAACAATCTTAGATTGAGATACTATACAACATTTAGAGTACTAAATAAACACTATATTAGGGGGAAAAAACTAGAATAAATTTTATAGGTATAGAAATCTTCTGGCTAATTAAGCTCAATTTGTGTAAAAAACCTATCAGGGATCATTGCTTGGGCTGGGCATGCTGGTGGAGGACCTGCCTTGCATGAGCAAGGCTCCGAGTTTGATCAAGAACCACACATAAAACGTTGCCAAGGAAATGTTAAGAGAAAAAAGAAAGTTGTGCAGATTTTTGTCTCAGGTCAAGGAGATGGCTCAGCTGTCAAAGGGCTTGTTGAACAACTATAAGGACCTGAATTTAAATTCACAGCTCACATTTAAAAGCTGGGCACAGCTGCACACGTCTGTAAACCCAGCACTGGGAAAGGCAGGTAGATCCCTACATGTTCACTGAAACCTTGTCTCAAAAAATAAGGAGGGGAAGTAACTAAGAAGGCACTCAACATCAATCTCTAGCCTCTACTTGCACACACTCAAATACACGCCTACACACACACACACACACACACACACACACACACACACAGAGGATTTTTTTTTTTTTTTTGAGACAGGGTTTCTCTGAAGCTTTGGAGGCTTTTTCTCTTTGTAGCCTTGGCTGTCCTGAAACTTACTCTATAGATCAGGATGGCCTCAAACTAGCAGAGATCCACCTGCCTCTGCCTCCCAACTACTAGGATTAAGGCTTCCTCTACCACCTCCCGGCTCACACTGGATCTTTATCTCATCAGATACATAATTACTACCACACGCAAATTACTAAAGCAGTATTTGATTCTAAAATGTTTCAACCAGAGAAAAAACATTGCCATTGTCAAGAAATGGAACCAGCAAGGGCTGAGGAGTTGCTTAGTGGTAAAAGGTAAAATATTTGCTACTGACAGGCCAGCATGAAGTTTGCTCCCTAGAACCCATGTAAACCCTGACATTACTCTTGTAATGCCTGTCTAGGGGAGGCAGAGACAGAAAAACCCTGGGGCTTGCCCAAAGTCCCAGTGAGAGACCCTGTCTCCAAAACAAGGTAGATATCTTGAGGAACAGTACCCAAGTTAACCTCTGACCTCCAAAGGCACACACACATGTATATCCCACACATGCACAAATACAAACACACCTGCACATGAATGCACACACAAATACACACACACACACATACACACACACACACAATACTTTAAATGGAAGGGCATGAGAATTGAAAATAAGGAACAACTATAGCTTAATGCCATCTCATAAAATTGTTGTGCTGTTGGTTTGGGGGCAGTTTGTTTTGTTTTGCCCAGGTGAGTGTTAAACCCGAAGTGATCCTCCTGCCTTAACCTTCAGAGTGCTGGGATTACAGGTGTCTTTCACTACTCCCTGCACATTTCTTTCAGAAACATAGTAAAATCCCAAAACTGTATACAGGAACCTCAATTATCAACATACATCCATAATTTATTATTTGTACAATGTACTGGCTGTGTTCAGCTTTCTACAACAGCTCCCCTTGATTAGAAAAGTGGAGGTCAGTTATGGCTGACCTTTGCTCTCACACTGTCTTCAGATGTCTGATTCCTATCTGTAATTCCCAATTTGTAATTACTCTGCTTCTCATAGCTGAGTTTTCTGTTCTCTGTTTTCTTAGGAGCCGGAGGATGGAGGAAGCTTGGTCATTGTTTTAGTGACATCATAACTCAAGATAATAAATGACTCTACCAAGTTTTCATTTGTACAGTTTCATTAATTCAGAACGTTTATCAGACAATTTCAATCCAACTGTCTTCTTTGTTAAATAGCCCTTTTCTCAAAGATACATTATTTTCCAGTGTTAGGCCAGTTTGTCCTCAAATTGAGCAGAATCTCAACATCTTGCTGAGCCAGTTTGTAAATTCCAACTTCATTTAAGGCTGCTGTGGCAGGAAGATGCTCAGAAGCTGACTGCAGGACATCTTTTAGGAGTAGTGCAGAACCGATGTTCAAATTCAGAACGATGCAGGCTTCTTTTACACTGTTCAGGAAGACAAAAGAAGGGGAGGAGAGATCCTCTACTCACTATCCATAGAACAACAATGATCTTTGGAGTCTGTACAGTCATTTAGACTATCTATGGACTGACTATTTAGCTCTTTAAACATTCTGGGACTACACAAGGCATACAGGATTAATACAGTCTCAGTGCAATGTTTGATGTTAGCAGATTATTAAATGTAGCAATGATTTTAGGTAAAATTACGACATAAGGAAAAAAGAAAAGGAATAAAAATGAACATAGCAGAAAAACAAAACAAACCAAAAACATAAATAGGGTGGAGATGGTGGCACACTTTTAATTCTAGGACTCAGGAAGCCAAAGTAGGAGTATATCTCTGAGTTCCAGGACAGTCTGGTCTACACTGTGAGCTCCAGGGCATTCAAGGCTACACACTAAGACTTTGTCTCAGAAACCCCGGACCACAACAGGAATAGGAAGACTGGTAAAATAGTCCACAGGTAAAGTGCCTGCTGGTAAGCTTGACAACCTGAGTTCAACTCTTGGGTTTTACATAAGAGTAGGAGAAAATCATTTCCCACAAGCTGTCATCTGGCCTCCATCCACGAAATTTAAAAATCTTAAATAATAATAAAAAACAGCTGGGCGGTGGTGGCACATGCCTTTAATTCCAGCACTCAGAAGACAGAGGCAGAGGCAGGAGGATCTCTGTGACTTCAGCCTGGTCTATAGATGGAGTTCTAGGACATACAAGACTACACAGAGAAACCCTGACTTGAAAAAACAGTAATAATAATAATAATAATAATAAAGGCACTGGAGATTTAATGCACTAGATAGAGTGCTTGTCTAGCATGAATGAAGCATGGGAGAAGACTGGGGGGTGTGGAGGGTGCACATCAGTAACCACAACACTCAGAAGAGGGGGCAGGAAGATCAAGCTCAGAGTCATCCTCTGCGACTACATACTAAGTTCAAGGCCAATCTGGGATACCTAAATTCCCATCAAAAACAGAAAAGCAAACCAGAAGCAATCATAGCTTCCTGAAATAAGCAAACATAAGCTTTTAAATTGTAAAGGAATGTTTCCAAATTGCACAAACTTTATATATAAATTTTAAATCAACAAAATTTTTACTAGATTCCTAGTATTTGTTCTCATGTTTATAACTATACTTAGAACTAAAATTAACAGTAAATTTATAAAATAAAAAAAAAATTGTCCTCGGTTAGTCTATTATTAGTACTGAACCAGATACTAGGAGGCAAGTCCAACATGTAATTTATACCTAGTTCTGGTCAAATTTCTGAGGATGTAGATCACATGCATTATTTTGGTTTCCCTATTGTGTTGTGAAAATAAAATACACAATGAATATTTAAAGGTTTTGATTAATTTTTATATATTTTTAAAATTTCATTTTATGTGCCTGTTTTGTCTGTATGTGTCTGTGCACATTGTATGTGCCTGGTGCCCATGGAGACCAGAGGAGGGTGTCAGATACCCCTTAACTAGAATTATGGATGGCTATAAGCCACTTTGTAAGGACTGAGAACCAAACCCCAGTCCTCTGCAAGAGCACCAAGTACTCTTAACTTATGAGCCGTCTCTCCAGTGCCAGATTTTAGTTGATGTTATTAGAACAAATATCAATGAAACTCTGAAACTGTTAGAAAGAAGTCAACTCCTCTAACACTTGGTTACGTCAATATTTACAGTTAGACATTAGCTTACTGTTTAAAATAGTTTTCCGGTCTCTTGCAATAGTGAGAAAACAAAGGGAAAAGATTCCGTGTCATATCAAACTGTAGCTGGGTTGCTCCTCCTTCGTTGAAATGATTAGCAAGGATTATCTGAAACAAAGAGCAATCCATGTAACGGCTGCTTTCATCAGCACCGCCCCAGCACCCACTGGCTTACCTCCTGATAGATGTATATATCCAGCTTCTCTACAAGCATTTGCCAGAAAATCCTGAATAAGGAGACACAAAGCTGCTGCTCCAGCTGAAGCAGACGGTCCCGTAAGGTCAGCAAGAGCGGGCAAGCTGAGCTGGACAGAGACATCACTGCCTGTTCACACTGAGACGGCAGGGACAACCATCTGGAAAAACAAACAGCCTTCATCAGAATGACCTTACCATTCAACAAATTTCAACAAATCATTTTGAACTTGTACACTGAGCTAGTCAAGCCCACATCATATGCCACTTTTCTATGAGATCCACATTGTCACTTGTTTATTCTGAGTAAATTCTTCAAAATAGATGTCAGAAAGATTTACATCAAAACCAAAGCTTGAACCTACCATATACAAAACTGGGGGTGGGAGTTCTACAAAGCTAAAATTTGGAGTGTGCATGCCACCTTTGACTCTGACTAACTTGTGTAAAGGGTGACTGACGCAGGATATACCTTTCTTTCTTATACAATTTTGCAGCATCTTTCACTTCTCTAAAAACATGGTCTACTTGGCGAGTCAACATATCAAGCTTTAAGCGCTCTAAGAGGTTTATCATATCATCGAAGACAGAGCTCTCCATGGAGGCTAGTTGTCCCAGCTGCAACTTACTGAGGGCGCTATTCTCTGCAAAGACCTCCAGTGCTGCCTGTTGAAGCTGCAGAAAGAACTGAAGGCAAACATGTTAGTGCGTTTATTAACACAGTGCTGAGCATCCTGAAATAGACTTTCCATATCATATAATTCCTTTATTTAAGGTGTGCAGTTCAGCACCAGTAAGATGGCTTCATCAGTAAAGTCACTTGCTGCCAAGTCTGATGACCTGAGTTCAAGATAGAAAACAGTGGAAGGAAACAACTGTAGCCTCCACGTATGTACCATGGCGAACACACACACACACACACACACACACACACACACACACACACACACACACACACACTCACTCACTCACTCCTTGGCACAGTGGCACATTATCTACAATGCTACACACAGAATTCATGTCTTTTACAGATACATACTAAAATATAATTAAATATGGCATCTGAGACAAACTTAAAATAATCAAGTTAGTTGGGGCAGAGAGAAGTGACAACAACATAAAGGTAGTGTAAGAAGGAGAGTGAGAGTCTGGAGTTAAAAACACTTACTACTCTTTCACAGGATCCAGGTTCAGTGACCAGCACCCACATGGTAGCTTACAACCCTCTGTAACTCCAGTTTGGGGGATCTTCTAGCCTCTGTGGGTACTGCACCTATGTGGTACACACACTTACATGCAGGCAAAACACTCTCACATAAAAAAATTAAAAAAAAAAAAACAGTAAGAGTGACAGATACATAATGCACCCACCAGACATGCCTGTAGGCAAGCCTGTAATGCATTTTCTGGATGTAGGAAGTTCCAGCCCTTTGTGGGTGGCATGGTGGTCCTGGGTACTATTTTAAAAAAGCAGACTGAGCAAGCAATGGAGAGCAATCCCATAAGCAATACTCTTCTATGACTTCTGCACCAGCTCCTATCTCCATGTCCCAGCCTTGAGTCCCTGCCCTGACTCCCTGGATAATGAACTACAAGTTGCTTTTGGTCACAGTGTTTCTCACAGCAATAGGAACTAAGATAGTCCTGTTTTGAATGTCCAAAAGAGTCAAGTCTTGGACGTTTTCTTCTTTATAGTGCTGGGAAATGACCTGCCACCAATTTAAATGTATTGATTTTGACATCATTATAAACTAATGACTTTCCTGTGTTAGCATTTAGCATATTATTATTTCCAGAGTAAAAAGTTGGAAGAGAAAAATGGTTCATGCTATACAGAGCTATTCATGGAAGTCTGTGTGCCTGCCTTTGTTTTTTGTGTTTCCTTCCTTCCTTTTGTTTTTGAAGTAGGACCTCAAGTAACTTAAGCTGGCCTAAAACTCACTACATCACCAAGAATGACCTTGAGACTACTGATCCATATTCCCAAGTGCTGGGATTATAGGCTAATTTACCATGCCTGATAGTTTTCTCCTTTTTCTCTTTTCTTTCTCTCAGTTTATGGTCCTGGCAATCATATGCTCCTACTGAGCTAAACCCCTGTAAAGTTATTAAATAATTGACACTATTTAACTGTTTTAGATTTGATTGAGAAAAACTTTACTCACATCTTCTAAATTTGGCATCATTATCCTTTGACTTGTCTAACAATTTTTTTACTTGCAACAGAATCAACATTTAAAGGTTAAAGAGGATCAAGGTACTAATACATTATTTATATAAATATATAAAGCACATTTACTCACAACATTGTCAGCCCAATCTGCCAGCACTGTTGAGATGTAGTTCACAGCATTAAGAATTGCACAGTATCGAAAGTCAAGTGGCGCTCTGGTCTCTTCTTTCATCACCTGCGTTAATCGTATCCTAAAATCATCCACTAGGTCCTTCTGTAACTCCAGGAACTGCAGCTTTCTGGGGGCTGTGGGAAGATTTTTATATCTGTCTGTGGAGAAAGTTAACAAAACACATGAAAGGGTTTGGCACTGTCAAGACAGGTAGTTTTCCCTAAAGCTCTACTTTACTGTCTTTATGAAACATCTCAACTGACCATTTCTAAACTCTTAAAGATTACAAAGGTAAAACATGTCAGGACTCATCCAACAGTATACTAAGTCTCCCATACTCCTGCCAAAAGCAATCAATTGTTGAAAACTATACTTCAGCATCCTTATCACAATTTTTAAGAGTTCTCTTCGATGGCTGGCTATCTACGCTGTTACTATGTTGGGGGTGGGGTAGACAGGTGACTTCACTCCCTCTGTGCATGCAGTGTTTACATCCTAAGTTGTTATTGTTGTTATTTTGAGACACGGTCTCAATATTCATCTAGATGGCCTGATTACTGTTACTATTAATACTATTATTAATATCTATTGCTATTTTATTATCTTGAGACAGGATCGCAGTACACACCCGGGGTGGCCTGGAACTCATAAACCAGAATAGTCTCAAAGCCACAAATCCTCCAGCCTCTTCTTCCAGAGTGTTGGGATGAAAGGTGAGTGCTACTACACCTGGTTCAGTTCTAAATTATAAGACCAAAGTGAGACTACTGTCCTAGATTTTTATTAGAGTGGGAAAAAACATTAGGTTACTATACTGCGATTTATTACTTACCAAACCAAACAACAAAACTTCCATGTGAAATGTACTACTTTTTTTTGCTTGTTTGGCTTTTGGAAACAGTGTTTCTCTGTGTAGCCCTGGCTGCCCTGGAACTGGCTCTGTAGACCAGGCTGGTCTTGAACTCACAGAGATCCGCCTGCCTCTGCCTCCCAAATGCTGGAATTAAAGGAGTGTGCTACCACCTCCAGGTGAAACGTACTACTTTAAAGATTTAGTACTTTTATTTTATGTTATAAATGTGTGCCTGCACATATACATGTGAACCATATGCATGCCAAAGGGGCACTGGGTCCTGTAGAGCTGAAGTTACAGCAGCTTATGAACTGGGAGCTGAACCAGGTCTTCTGTAAGAGAAGCAAATATTCTTATCTGCTGAGCTATCTCTCAAACCCAAACTAACTACAATTAGTTTAGGTTTTGTTTGCTCCTTGGTTTATTTTGTTTTTGTTTTTAAGATAGTCTCATGTATCCCAGGCTGACTTCAAACTTGCTTTGTAGCTGAGACTGGCCTTATTAAGGTCTTGATTCTCCTGCCCTGCCTCTACCTCCCAAAATGGGATTACAAGTGTGCATTCCATACCTAGCTTAAAAACTCATTTTAAACTAACATCATACACTAAAAGACCTGTACTTACCAGTTATAACCAAAAGTAAAGTCATAAAAACTTCTGCACAGTCTGGAACCTTCATTTCATCCACATCCGTGATGTCTTTATATTGGGATACCCAAACAGCCTCTGATGAAAGCATTGAATCCATTTTTTGAAGAGCAACTAACAGGAAGAAAGAAGGATCATGTCAAGGAGTTACGGTCATTCTTGATTTATCAACTTACACTTCTTAGCAATGATTTTTCATACAAAATAAATTTTCAATCTCCCACTAATTGCACTATATTTAAAATGTTCTACTTTAGAGTTAAATAAAATACCTTATTCTCCCTCCTCTCAAATTCTCAAAATAGGTACACTGATTAGATATGATACATTCAAAAATACTCAACCAAAAGTAGAATAGTAGTACATGGCGGGGCTGGAGAGGTAGCTCAGAGGTTAAGAGCACTGGCTACACTTCCAGAGGTCCTGAATTCAATTCCCAGCAACCACATGGTGGCTCACAACCATCTACAATTAAATTTGGTGCCCTCTTCTGACATGTAGGCAGAACACTGTATATGTAATAAATAAATTAAAAAAAAAAGAATAGTACATGGCAAAAATCTATACAACAGTATATCCTCTACTGACTCAATATTTCAAAATACAGACTTTAATTCCAAGGGGGGGAAAAAACCCTGAAGTTTCATGGAAAGAAGACTGTCTTTGAAGGTAATCCAGCAGACCCTGTACAGGAAAGCTTAGGCTCCTACAGTTCCTACTCAGTGCTATAAGAGAAAAAAAATGTACACACCAAAAATGGACAGATCGACAGGCGGTGGTGGTACATGCCTTTAATCCTAACCCTTGGGAGGCAGAGACAGATAGATCTCAATGAGTTTGAGGCCAACCTGGTCTATACAGAGAGTTCTGGGCCAGCCAAGGAAACACACTGAGACCCTATCGAAAAATAAAACAAAAAACAAGCAAGCAAACAAAAAATTTGAGACAATCCTCCCAACTCAATGGCCACAGGAACACTTACATTTTCTCTCCACAGTTAACCACCTCTGAAAACAGGTTTCCTCTGACAGAATATGCATACAGCTGGCAAAAGTGCTAGGATAGCCGTGAACACTGTGCAGCTCCCTTTCAAACAACAGCACCTCATCCACCAAATGACAGAAGAGATTATCATCATAGAGCAGGCAAGGTATATCAGAAGCCAACTTCTCAAGAATGAGCATCACAAGGCCCCGAGAAAACTCAAGCTGAAACAAACAGTCACGTTGGTCAGATACATGAACAACTCTAATGAAGCTGAAATACATAGACCTCAGCCTCTTACCCTGGCATTTACTGCACAGCTTGCCTTATCCAATATTGGCTGAATCTTCTCGTCCAGAAAGTGAGCATGGTTTCCAATCCACATAAGTACCTGAGCCAAGTACCATTCAGGCTAAGGGGAAAGGAAACAAACAGTTTCCATTCTTTATTTATCCTTTAGTCATAGAAAATTCTAATTAAATGCATTTAATTATAAACAGATGAAAAAAATTGGTTGAAAGATCCTATATGTAAGACAGTAATTCTTACCCGGCAGTTCAAGCTCACAGAAGACTTCATAATCAATGGATTCCCAATATACTCAACAAATTTCACTAATATGGCTTAAGTCAATAAATTCATAAATCTAAAATAACATATTGGAGTTAGGGGTACTTAGTAGTGTAACGTTTGCTTAGATATAAAAAGTCTTGGTTTCAATCCCCAGCACTACATAAAAAGAAGAGGGCATAAGCCGGGCAGTGGTGGCGCACGCCTTTAATCCCAGCACTCGGGAGGCAGAGGCAGGCGGATCTCTGTGAGTTCGAAGCCAGGCTGGACCGACAGCCTCGAAAACAATACAGAGAAACCCTGTCTCAGAAAAAAAAAAAAAAAAAAAAGAGGAGGGCATAATGACAACAATGAAGAAAAGACAGTCATGTACACTTAAAAACTAACATCTGCCCAGCACACAAAGCCCTAGATTCTAGAGTAAAACAAAACAAAGCCACCAGCAGGGTGACTCTGTGAATAAAGGGACCTGTCAACAAGCCTAACAGCTTGAGTTTGTTCCCTGGAATCCACATGGAAGGAAAGGGCCAATTCAAACAGGTTGTTCCTTTGATCTACATATAGAGAAATAAAATGCGCGTTTATTTATTTATTTATTTATTTATTTTTGGTTTTTCCGAGACAGGGTTTCTCTGTGGCTTTGAAGGCTGTCCTGGAACTCGCTCTGTAGACCAGGATGGCCTCGAACTCACAGAGATCCGCCTGCCTCTGCCACCCGAGTGCTGGGATTAAAGGCGTGCGCCACCAACGCCTGGCTGCACGTTTATTTTTAAAGTCCTCAAAACCTAGCATGATGATGCACTACAAACAACTGATATCTTTGAAACTGTTTTTTGAAATGACATTCCACAAGAAGGTTTTGGGGATGGGATCTCATGTAGCTCATGCTAAATCCACCTGCCTCTGCCTCCCGAGTGCTGGGATTAAAGGTGTGCACCACCAACTCTATACTTCTGCTTTCTTTTTTTCAAAAGCTAAAATAAAGGAAAAGTCAGCTGATCTACAATACAAATATATCTGAGCCTTAAAATGGCTATAATTATGGAAAGGAAATGTAGGTACAAAGAATTTGTCATTTTATTACTTTTCTGTGTGCTCATGCACGTTTGCCTGTGTGTGTGTATGGGTGAACAAGCGCCACAGTGTGGGGTGGCGCTCAGAAGACAGCCTTCAGTTCTCTCCTGCTGCCACGTGCGTCCTGGGATCAAACTCACCCATTGGGCCACTCACAGGCCCACATAAAGCATTTTATATTGTCTTTAGAGAGGATTCTGGGCGGTGGTGGTGTACGCCTTTAATCTCAGCACTCGGGAGGCAGAGCCAGGTGGATCTCCGTGAGTTCGAGACCAGTCTGGTCTTCAAAGAGAGGATTCTACAAACATTTCAAGTTTTTCTATACAACAATTCAAAAACATATACTAAAGTGGGGATATAACTTGGATAGAGCACTTGTCTAGCATGTGCAAGGCCCTGGGTTCAATCCCCAGCAGGGAGGAAAAAAATTACTGACTAGTAAATCCCTATGGTGTTCCAAAGGTTAGAAATACAAATAAGGGCAGAATCTAATCTCAAGGACTCCCGTTAGATCTAGTGACAGTGAATTAAATTCATTAGGATCATATTTTCAAACTAAGCCAATACAGCTCAAAATTTACTTACACCAAATTATATTATTGTCTTTCTACATGTTCAGTTTATGTTTTGCCTCACGTACTACTGAGAACTAAATGATTCTGCTATTCCAACAGCCCTCTATCCAAAACTGAAAGTCATAAAGCATAAACAGGAGCATCCAGCCACTAAGTTGATTAATGTGACATGTATAATACCTGGTGTGATCTTGCACTAAATTCAGAATTAACCCTGTTCCATGCACTGCACTGGCTGAGGCAAACATCAAGAATAAACAAGATGTGCTCACAACTTGTAGATTATAACTACAAGAAACCCCTCGGTTCAAATGTTGGCAACAATGCCCTTCAGATTACTCCGTCACTTACTGCCATGATGTCTCTCTGCAGCTATGAGTCACATCGGCACTGACATGCCTATTCAACATCCAATGCTCTGTCTTGTGGGATTCACATCTCTTTCACTCTATTCATATACCTACAGGAGTGGTCTGTACAGTGAAGACTGGGCATAGATCTGTTGTAACGCCTGCATGCCCAAATGCAAATGTGAAAAACTGGTCAGACGATGTTCCACAGAAAGCACCAATTCTGACAACCTGTTAACCTAAGCCCTAGTTATGTCTACAAAGGGCAGTTATGAAGCAGGAAGTTAGCTTTTTTGGGAAAACAGAAACATGAATAGAGACAGGTTTTTTGCTTACACACACAAAAGCCCTGACACAGGTAACAGTTAATGAAAACTCAGGACAAAGAGGACACTGTTGCACACACATGTAATCCCAGCACTCAGGAGGCACATGCAAAGGGAGCTCAAGTTTGAGACCATCCCAGGGTTCTTCTTAGACCCTGTTTCAAAAAAAAAGGAGGGGAGAGTACCTTGCTGATAACATTAGTCTGTCGGCTGCCTCTGAAGTGGTATTTGAATCTCTTCTGAAGAGGAGTCAGCATGATCTGGATGGGTAGGATCACAGAAGGGCATTCAGGAAGAGAATATTTTTCTGGGAGTTGTTTTTGCTCAGTTAGTAATTCATCTCTGACACAACCAAGTCAAGGAAAAAGAATCAAAATCACATTTATACACACAAGTGTATACACACACACTAAATTTTTCCAACAAATATATTAACACTTAGCAAAAGGTTTAACACAAGTAATGTAAAACCTAACTTTATATTGAGTTTAAATTCACTAAAAATGTTTTTAAGGACTAGAGAGATGACTCTTTGGTTAAGAACACTTGTTGCTCTTGCAGAGAATCCAGGCTTGATTCCCAGCACCTACATCATGACTCACAATCATTCATAACTATAGTACCAGTAGATCTGATGCCCTCTTCTGACTTCAAAGGCACAAGGAATGCACATAGTACACAGATACACATACAGGCAAAACATTTATTGTAAGGGAAAGGGGCCAGCCAAATAATCACATCCTGAGCAGAGCCAAAGAAACACACTTTGTCCCCAGAATCAGAGCCAGTAAAAGAAATATGCCCTGGCCCTAAAATTAGAGTCAAAAGGCTAAAAAGGACCAGTGAAAGAAACACACTTTGGCCCTGAAACCAGAGTCAAATCGGACCCTGATCCTAAGCAGAAAACCAACCAACCCCGAGCAGGAGCTCAGAGACTGAAATTTTCTCCCTGGAAAACTCTACTCCTAAGAATCGACAACTTTCCCTAGCAAACAGGAGTTATTACACTGGAGGCGGGAGATGGGGGACAGGGGTGAGGAGGGGGGACGGGACGGGGACACACGGACACGATGACGGACAATGACAACACTGGGACGGGACAGACAGACAGACAGACACAGACACACACACAGGTACACGATACACACACAGAGGATGGGGGTGGGGGACAGGGACAGGACACTGGACCAGAGCTGAACTGTAACAACTTCACTAGGGAAGCCCTCCCCTGCCAGAGCAGAGCTATTACAGTGGGAAAGCCTTTCCTGAAGCAGGGCTGTAAGCTGCTACACTTACTATGACCTGTGGTATTCCTTGGCTCCCAATTACCAGAATACTTTTCTACACGAGCTGTAACACTTGGTATTCTTTGGCTCCTAGGTGCCAGAATACCTTTCCATCTGAGCCGCAATGCTTACATTTATACTTACAAAATAAAAAATAAATGAAAATATAAAAGGTTTTTAGAATCAATCTGTAGTAAGAAAATCAACTTACACAATCATTTGATTAATACTTTGTTACTAAGGTTTTTTTTCCCCATTGCCTACTTGTGTTCTTGCCTTAAAAGACCTGTAATGCCAACATTGGTCAATTACCATAGTGGTATGAGTAAGAATGGCCAGCATAGGCTCATATGTTTAAATGTTTGGTCATTAGTAAGAGATACAACTTGACAGGGATTAGGAAGTGTGGAAGAGCTGTGGCCTTGTTGGAGGAAGTGTGTCACTGTGCATGGGCTTTGGGGGTTTCCAATGCACAAGATAAGTCCAGTGACTCTCTCTTCCTGCTGTCTGCTAATCCAGATGTAGAACTCTCAGCTCCTTCTCCAGCACCATGTCTGCCTGCATGCCACTATGTCCTACCATGACAATAATGGACTACACCTCTGAAACTATATGCCAGACCCAATTAAATGTCATGATATCTCTTCACAGCAAAAGAACGATGACTCAGACAGTTGTTTATATCAGAGCTCTTCTTTTTTATAGTCCTCCCACTCCCAGACAATTAAGAGAATATATATTCTCCAACAGGCAGTTACACATCAACTCTAACCCAGGACCCTCAATTTGGCTTTGTGGCCACTTTGAAAACTTTCTCCTCTGGTATTGGAGATTAATTCCAGTGCCTCACTCATACTCTACTACTCTATCACTAACCCAAAATGTTTTAATCACAAACCACAAATCTACTATAGGAAGAAGTTTTAGTAAATTTTCCACTTCAACAAAGATACGAGGCTTGTAGTTTCAACAGCTGACAAAACAGTGTCTCCAGGGCACCATATATCTCAGGGGCACTAGCAGGCCAGTTTATGCCAACAGTTTGAGACTGGGTATGTGTGATGAATGGCCAATGAAGCTGTGCTAAAACTTCCTCAAAATCACTGTAACAGAAAAGAAACAATGCTTCATATGATGCCATTAAATTACCATATATCCATCAGAAAGCAATGACCACGAGATATTTCCTGCCTGGTAAGCTTGTCCTTGAGAATTTTATGCCAGAATTTAACTGTGGCTCTCACAAAACTAAGAAGATGAGTACAAGATGACTCCTGAAGCTTGATGTCAAGTTCTGTCATAGTCACCAGGATAGAGGCTGCCTCTGGTACATTATTGGTCATCAAGTATTGCTGAATGTTATCACTGTAAAACAAAGCAGACACAACATGAGAGTTTTTCTGTGGAATCAGAGTATGTATGTACATCTGTGTGGAGACCCCCAATGTCAGCAGTAGGTATCTTTCTCAATCATTCTCCACCTTAGTTTTGAGACATGGCTTCTTCATTGAACCTGAAGTTCGCAAACTTAACTGGAGTCTAGATTCTATACTGTCTGTCCTGCCAGCTGCAGGAATCCTCCTGTCTGCCTCCCCAACACCTAGCTTTTTAATGCAGATGATGAGACTGGACTCAGATATTTATGCTTGCATAGCAAGCACTTTACTGACTAAACTACCACCCAAATCCCTTGGAACAACTTCAAGCTCTGAAAAACTTTCTCAGCCAGTTGGTCAGTTGGTGTCAGTGAACACCTTTAATCCCAGCACTCTGGGGGCAGAGGAAGGCAGACTTCTGTAAATTCAAGGCCACTCCAGTTCACAGAGAGAGTTCCAGGACAGCCAGGGCTACACAGAGAAATCCTGGAAGGAAGGAAGGAAGGAAGGAAGGAAGGAAGGAAGGAAGGAAGGAAGGAAGGAAGGAAGGAAGGAAGGAAGGAGGGAGGGAGGGAGGGAGGGAGGGAGGGAGGGAGGGAGGGAGGGAGGGAGGGAGGGAAGGAAGGAAGGAAGGAAGGATACAAGGAAGGATACACATGGCTAACAAGCAGGGAGAATACATACATAGGAGGAAAAATGGAAAAATCTGGGAAGAGAAGATCAAGGAACAAGAAAAGGAAAGAGGACACCAGAGGCCAACCACACAGCAAGTCATGGAGTAAGAAAAAAAGGTATATAGAATACAGAAAGATAAAAGCCCAGAGGCTTTTATATGGGATAATTTAAGAAAACCTGGTTAGAAACAAACCAACCTAAGGCCAGGCACTCATAAGAAAGAATAAGCCTCCATGTGTATTTATTTAGGAGCTGGGAGGAGAGCCCCCAAATGAATAAAAGAGTTAAAAAAAAAAACAAAGCAAAACAAAACAAACAAACAAAGCTACAGCAGATACCTCTGAGTTTGATGGTGGCCTGGTCTTACATAGTAAGTTCCAGGTCAGCCAAGATTACATAGTAAGACCCTGCCTCAAAAACCAAAAAGAGTTTGCAGTGATGGCACACTCCTTTTACACCAAGCACTCAAGAAGCAGAGGCAGGTGATCTCGATGAGTTCGAGGTCAGCCTGGCCTACAAACTGAGTTCCAGGACAGCAAGAGCTATAACACAGAGAAACCCAGTCTGGGGGGGGGGGGGGCGGGACAGATATCTTACAAAAGAACAGAAAATATACAAGTAAACACAGAATATAAAATTTCCAGAATTATATAACCCTTAAATGTGAGGGGCACTTAGAGCATAGGAAAAGCCAGAATAACAATGTTCATGCTATGACACTGCTCATACAGTGTTTATGAAACACTGAGAAGATGCTAGTTCAAGCAAGGAGAGAGAGGGAGAAAAAAGGGGAGAGACAGAGTACAGAATAAAAACAAGTCATGCAGGGCGTTGGTGGGGCACGCCTTTAATCCCAGCACTCGGGAAGCAAAGGCAGGTGGATCTCTGTGAGCTGAAGGCCAGCCTGGTCTACAGAGAGAGTGCCAGGATAGACTCCAAAGCTACACAGAAACTCTGTCTCAAAAAACCAAAAAAAAAAAAAAAAAAAAACAAGGGAAATTTAGAGATGGAAAAAAGTCTTAGAGGCTATCACAAAGGCCCTAAGGGAAAAATTATATTATTAATAGCATGAAGTAATATTTGATTTTTTTCTTTTTAATTAATTTATTATGTATACAGTGGTCTGTTTGCATGTTTGCCTGCAGGCCAGAAGGGTGCATCAGATCTCATTACAGATGGTTATGAGCCACCATGTGGTTGCTGGGAATTGAACTCAGGACCTTTGAAAGAGCAGCAGTGCCCTTAACCGCTGACCCAACTCTCCAGCCCCTATTTGATTCTTATTCAATATGATTCCTGGGTTAAAATTCTCTTTTAAACAATTCAGATACCAAAAATGGTACTGATAACTACAGTTTTGTTTTGGTTAATCTCTTTGGCAACTACAAAAGGGAAGCTTTCAAACAACTTATTCTGCTTAAGCATATTATTAATATTACCTTTATTTTTATGTTCTTTCAGAGGGGTAACAAGAAATGAAGTACAGTAAAGCAAGGTTTAAAACTCCTTTACTAAGCCGGGCATTGGTGGCACAAGCCTTTAATCCCAGCACTTGGGAGGCAGAGGCAGGCAGATCTCTGTGAGTTCAAGGCCAACCTGGGCTACAGAGTTCCAGGACAGGCTCCAAAGCAATACAGAGAAACCCTGTCTTGAAAAACAACAACAAAAAAACAAACAAACAAATACCTCCTTTACTAAAGGTTCCAGGGATGACTCAGTGGGTCAAGTACCTGCTGTGCAGTCCTGGGGACTTGGGGTTTGGATCCTTTAACAGTCATAAAAAGTAAGGCACAGTGAGGCATCTGGAATCCCCAGCACAAGAAGAGAGGAGACATTGAGTAGCTAGGGAGTCAGTAGCCAGCCAGTCTAGGCAATCTGTGAGCCAAGGGTTTAGTGAGAGACTGTCTCAAAAAAATAAAGGAAGACAACCAATGTACAATTGGGAAGGTGTAGGGAATCATACCATGAATCAGAATAATCTCCCTATTTAGGCAGAAATGTTACTCTGACTTGAGAGGCAAGACCTGATATAATCAACCTGTAGTGTTCACAAACAGATGTGAACTTTACTTCTCTTTTTACCAAAATAACTTTCTTATTTTTCCCTATTCATAGGTCTTTCAACTCTATTATTCATCTAGAATACTGTATAGTTTTGGATTGTTTGTCTGTTTGCCCATTTTTTTTGTTTGTTTATAGACAAAGCTCATGTAGCCAAAGCTAATCCTGAACTTGCTATCCTCCTGCCTTGGCCTCACAAGTATTGAGATTTCAGGTTTGAACCATGACATTGGTCTAACTAGGTAGTTCTTTTTGTTTGCTGTTGTTTTGGAAACCACGTCTCAATACGTAGGCTGGGTTTTACTGGAACTCACTATGTAAACAAAGTTGCCCTAAAACATGCAGCAATCTTCCTGATTCAGCCCCACCCCCCAAGTGTTGAGATTACATCATGCCAGGCTCACAGTTCTTTTTTAAGCAATTACTTATTCATTCATTCATTTATGGTTTTGGCTTTTCAAGACAGTATCATTTATTTGTTTATTTATTTATGGTTTTGGTTTCTCAAGAAGAGATTTGTGTAACCCTGGCTATCCTGGAACTCACTTGCCTGAGTGTACAATATGCGTACCGTATGCATACAGAGCCCAGGGAGGCCAGAAGAGGGCATAAGCTCTCCTGCAACTGAAGTTACAGAGGTTGTGAGCTGCCATGTGAGTTCTAGAAACTGAACCCTGGTCCTCTGGAAGAGCAGCAAGTGCTTCCAACTGCTGAGCCAGCCTCTTAGAATGCAGTTCTTATTAGATTCTAGGTGAAACAATGTAGCTCAACATGTGACAATCTCTAAATATTTATGGGAACACTGATGAACAGATTTGCAGAAATATGGCATTAGAAACAGTAGTTTTGACTATGCAGTGGAGGTCAGCCTGGTCTACAGAGTGAGCTTCAAGACAAACACCATCTCAAAGAGAGAGACAGAGAGACAGAGAGAGAGAGAGAGAGAGAGAGAGAGAGAGAGAGAGAGAGAGAGAGAGAGAGAGAGAGAGAGCGAGAGCGCACAACTGCTTAAGCATTAATTTTTTTTTAACTTTTCAATTTTTTTTGGTTTTTCGAGATAGGGTTTCTCTGTATAGTCTTGGTTGTCCTGAAACTCAATCTGTAGACCAGGCTGGCCTCCTCGACTTCACAGAGATCCGACTGACTCTGCCTCTGTCTCCCAAGTGCTGGGATTAAAGGCATGTGCAGCCATAAATTTCTAAATTTCTTTCAAATGCGAATTAAGCTTCCTGAAAAGTTTATGTTCATTCACAATACAGCCGAATAATCATTACCATAATGTCATTTTCCTAACAACTGGTAAAAATTATAATCTTTAATTAACTCAATTATTTAATAGCATATGCACACGCGCGCACACACACACACACACACTGAGACAGAGACTCAAGGAAACAATAATTATGAGAATAATGCCTGTCCCACCTTAGCTCTTCAATCTGTGAAACCCATTTAAGGTATGTGAGATGCTGCTCAATCTCTTCTATCTGGTTGATCATGGCCCCGAGATCATCCATCCACGGCTGTGCAGTCAGAAGATGGCTAGTGATGGAGCTCAAGAGAGGAGCTTCCTGCTCCAAAAACTGATTAACAACTTGCTTGGATTCTTCTGCATCTTTTAAAGCACTCTGAATTCTTTTAGGGATTTCTGATGAAATTGTAAGTACCTAACAACACACAAAAATATGAGCAATGAGGTAAAATTTTGTTAGTTTAGTCTTTTCCAATAACATGTTCCAACAGAACTAAAAGTTTCCAATTAAAATTTTCAAGTTAGCTGTGCATGGTGGTGTACATCTTTAATCCCAACACTCAGAAGGTATAAGTGCAGGAGAACCTTTGGAAGTTCGAGGTTATATGTGAGTTTCAGTGCAGCTACAGTTATGTAACGAGACCGTCTTAAAAATAAAACATAAAACCCCTTTAAACTTCAAAAGGTTTGGCTAGCTGTGGTGTCACACACCTTCAGTTACAGCATCTGAGAGATGGAAGCAGAAGAATAAGGAATTCAAAGTCAGTCTTGGCATATTTACTGATTTCTAGGCCAGCCGAGACTACATAAGACTATCTCAAAAAATAAAAAATAAAAAGGGCTGAGAAGGTAAAAAGACAGGCAGAGCACTGTCTGTATCCTCATGCTCGGAGCACAGAGACAGGTTGATCTCTGCTCAGTGGCCAGCCTATCCAGCTCAATCAGTAAAAGACCCTGCCTCAAACACATAGGTGGAAAGTGATAAAAAATAGATACCCAACATTGACCTCTGACTTATTCATTTGCACTCTCATGAGACACACACACAGAGGAACAAAATAACAAGGTTCAATTTCTTCATCCTATAGCAATCAACCCAAACATATAATGCTTTATGACAAGTGTAAATGCTGTGTGTGTATGTATATGTATGTGTGTGTGTGTGTGTATATATATATATATATATATATATATATATATATATAGAGAGAGAGAGAGAGAGAGAGAGAGAGAGAGAGAGAGAGAGAGAGGGAGGGAGGGAGAGACACCTCCTAACACATGGCTCCCAGGCAAGTATCTGGAACACTTTGAAAGCATACTGCCAGAGATTTCTTGCTTCACTATTTTCCTTCAAAAAAAAAAAAAAAAGAAAGAAACTGTGATTCAAGCTGCAATGATAACACAGCTGGGAATGTGTCTCATCAAGTAAAGCACATGCCTAGCATTCATAAGACTGAGTTCAATTCTCAGCACCACAGGGAATAAAATCTATTAAACTACGAAAGGTAGCACACACCTGCAACCTCAGCACTTGGGAGGTCGAGGCAGGAGGACTAGGGGTTCATGCAGTCTCAGCTACACATAAGTTTGAGGCCAGCCTGTGATGGAGAGTCCTTCTGTGTATATGTTGTCTTATTGGTTGATAAATAAAGCACTGTTGGCCAATAGAGAAGCAAGATAGGTGGGGCTAAGAGTCAAGGAGAATTCTGAAAAGCAGAGGCACAGACAGTCACCATGTAGTGATGCCAAGGAGTAAGAGGTCGGGATCCTTTCTCTGGTAAGAGAAGATGATGTGGAAATACTCAGATTGGCAGTTATGGGTTAATAATTAAGTCAGAACTAGCCAATAAGAAGCCATAGTAAATGGCCAACAGCCTCATAGTTAACATAGCGTCCTGCGTGTTCATTTGGAACTGATGCAGCTCTGGGACAAGGCTGGCGGAAAGAATCTCATTACAAACCTAAATTACATAAAGTCCTGCCTCACAGCAAACAAACAGAACCCAAAATACAGCTGGGTCCCTGTGTTTTGCTGGAGCCTCGGATGAAGCCTACTGATCTGGTGAGAAGATATTTAGGTAATGTCTTTAGAAATGTAATTTATTAAAGGATGCTTTCATGGGGGTTGGAGAGACAACTCAGCAGTTGAATGTATATATTGCTCCTCTAGAGGACCCAAGTTCTGCTCCCAGAACACACAGTGGACTGAAGCCCCTGGCTATGGGGTTACCTGCACTCATGCATGTAATCCTATTCCAATTCCATAATTAAAATAGGTGTTTTTAAAATGTCTTTTGTCATATATGAAAACCATAAATCAATTATTAGACAGCAGAACCAATGACTAATATTTTATTTTACTTTGAGATAGTCTCATTCCAGGCTGGCCTTGAACTTCCATCTTATGAGTTCTGGGATTACAGATTAATTTGACCACACCCAGTACCACACAGAATTTTATAGGATCTCAACTTAATCAACCCTGACTAGACACTCTGAACTTAGCACTATGCTAGTGATATAAGGAAGATACAACATCTGCCCTTACATATCAAAGAGACACATAAGCATACATTCTCAAAAGTGAAGTTAATGCAATAAAACAGCACACCAGGCTGGGCATGGTGGCACATACCTTTTGTCCCAGCACTTGGGCGGCAGAGGCAGATGGAGCTTTGTGAATTCCAGATCAGCCTGGTCTACAATAATGAGTTCCAAGCCAGCCAGTGCTAGAATAACACCTTGTCAACAACAACAAAACCATATGACACAGAAGAAGCTGGGAGAAATAGTATACTCATGTAGTACTCCTGAAACCTGAACATGTGCAAAAATCCCCTAGAGGTCTTATTCTAATGGATACAATCTAATTCAAAGAAGAAGAGCGAATAGATGAACCTGGACAGGAAGGAAAAACCAAATCACAGGTAGTCATGGAATAACAGTCTTTGTACAATAGATAACAGGATCCACTAGGTGTTTTAAATAAGGGAAATTTACAGTTTACAAAGTAGGAATAGGAAAGCAAGAGAGCTCAAATGATTGGGGGTTGGGTATTTCCAGAGGGAGGGGAAGCATCAGACTCCTAGGCTACAGACCTGTGCTGGTTGGGTTTTGTCAAAAAAAAAAAAAAAAAAAGATACAACTAGAGCATTGGGGAATAGCATGTTAAGATGTGTGTGCTGTTTATGCTACATTTGTTTAACTCTATGTAGTTGTATTACTGTACCTGTCTAAATCACCTGATAGTCTAATGAAGAGCTGATTGGCCAACAGCAAGGCAGGAGGAAGGATAGGTAGGGCTGACAGGCAGAGAGTATAAATAGAAGAAATGACGAAGAAAAGAACTGAGGGGTCACACACAGTCACCCAGCCAGCCACAGAGTAAGAGTAAAGATATACAAAAGTAAAAAAAAAAATCTCAGAGAGAAAAGATAGGATATTTTAAGTTAAGAAAAGTTGACAAAAAACAAGCCAAGCTAGGGCCAGGCATTCCCAAGAATAAGTCTCTGCATGTGATTTATCTGAGAGCGGGGTGGTGGGCCCCCCAAAAAGACAAAAACAACACACCACACTAGAGTCAGCTGAGAAAACCCTCCTATCAGACAGGCTTTTAGGCAAGTCTGTGGGCATGCTCTTGATTAATGTGGAGGGGTGCAGCCCACTACGGGTAGTGCCACCTCTGGTCAGGTGTCCTTAGTTATAAAAAACCAAGCTAAGCCAGCCAGTAAACATTGTTTTTCCATGGTCTCTGCATCAGCTCCTATCTCCAGGTTCCTGCCTTGAGTTCCTGCTTTGACTTCCCTCAATGACAGACCATGACATGGAAAAACCTCTTTCTTCCACAACTTGCTTTTGGTCACAATATTTTATCACAGAACTAGAAAGCAGGGCTTGAGTGATAAGCAGAGGGTGGTGCTATTAGTCACAAAGAGAATCCTGTTAATTAACGAGACAGAGGAGAGCAATTCTGGACATGTTCAATCTCAAGTTCAGGAAGTATCTGTGGTCATTAGGGAAACAAGCTTGCTTACAGGGGTAAAAGAGATAATGGCAAACTAGAAAATGCAGATTGATAATAAAGACCTTAAAATGCCTGACAACCAAATGAATGAATGAATGAATGAATGTCTACTAAAAGATGAAGGGAATGTGTTTTGGTTTGTTTTATAGGAAAGACCTATGTTCATCTACTGAGAAGACAGGACTGGTAGAGAAGCAAAGGATAAAATTCCAAAAGCAAACTAAGACCACTGGTTGGCAAGGTGCTAGGAAGAAGCTAGAGGATGTAAGGCTGCATTAGTAATAGCTCCTGCTTGAAGGCTTATGTAGGGTAGGGATGGTACCACTGAGAGAAGAAATGGGGGATGGGGAGAGCAAGGATCAGAGGATATATGCAAAGTACAGTGATACACACACATTCATAATGAAATCTATTTATACACTGCGGTGGTTTGAATAGGTATGACTCCCATAGACTCATGTTTGAATGGTTGGCCCATAGGAAGTGTCACTTTAGGAGGTGTGGCCCTGTTGGACAAAGTGTGTCACTACTGGAGTGGACTTTGAAGTCATATGCTCAAGTTATGCACAGCTGCTTCTGCTACCTGCAGATCAAGATGTAGAACTCTCAGCTCCTTCCCCAGCACCATGTCTGCCTGTATGTCACTATGCCCCACCATAATGATAATGGACTAAACCTCCAAACTGTAAGCCACCCCAATTAAATTTCTCCTTTATAAGAGTTCCTGTGGTCATGGTGTCTTCACAGCAACAGACACCCTAACTAAGACATACACTAAGAACATGATAAATTTTTTTTTTTTGGTTTTTGCGAGACAGGATTTCTCTGTATTGTTTTGGAGGCTGTCGGTCCAGCCTGGCCTCGAACTCACAGAGATCTGCCTGCCTCTGCCTCCCGAATGCTGGGATTAAAGGCGTGCGCCACCACCGCCCGGCTGAACATGATAAATTTTTAAAGGCCTGATGCAGCAACTAGTAAGGTGACTCCATAGGTGAGACAGTTGCAGATTCACCTGGTCACCAAGTCTGATCTCTAGAACCCATGTGAAGTTCCCATGGGCTGTGTCACTCCTGCCTCCAGGGCTTGACTTGAGATCCTGCTTGGGAGAGTGCTTGCCCAGCAAGCATGAAGCCCTGAGTTTGATCCCTGGGAAAATAACGTGGTGGGACATGTTGAAAATACTAGCACTCCAGATGTGGAAGGAGGAAGATCAGAAGTTCAAGGCCATTCCCTGCTACACAGTTTACTAAAAGCTCACCTGGAACCCTTTAGTGGTGGACAAAAAAAAAAATTAGTTTACCTTTGAGAAGGTAAAGATGACTACAAATAAGTTTGGAATATGGAATAGACTGTTAAATTAATATTCATGCTAGATGCTTCAATGTTTTGTTAGAGAAAAGGAAGTGGCAGAATAGCCACATAGGGTAGTCATTCAGGGAAGACTCAGAAAGACGAGTGAGGCCAGTAGGCAGCAATAAAAGGCTGCAAAGTGAGGCTGAAGGCGGTTACGGTAGCAGGCCACAGATGGGGCCAGCTTTGAGTGATGCAACAGTGTGACACTCTCCAACAGAACCTTGAAGGAACGGACAAGCTGACAGATTAGGCTACACAAAAAGACTAGCAGTAATTGTTCTAGGAAAGCAGGAAGGCGTGGAGGCCTAACTCAGTTTATGGAGCTGGAAGAACATAAGGCTCATCACAGCCACACATTCAGAGTTTGCTTAACCTAATTAATTTCTCACATTATAAAATCTCTCCTCTTTGACAGAGGAGTGCAACTATAAAGACCGACTTCTCTTCAGCTTAAGAGTATTTTCACTGGGATTTAAAAAATAAAGTATTATGTTCATTGTAAACTGAAACATAAAAGCATGAAGAAAATCATCTTTCAACCAACACTCAGAAGCAAACATTGTTAAAATTCTCTTTCAGTTTTGTTTTGTTATTTCTGTGACAAGGTTTCACGGAACCCAGAATGGGCTATAGTGATCACATAACTGAGGCTGGCCTTGAACCCTTGATGCACTTGCCGCCTCCCTGAATGTGCTGAAGTTATAAGCATATGCCACCACACCTACCGACTACTATACATTAGACACGTTTCCTTCCTCTATGTGCACTTATAAAAACTTGGAATGACAGTGTTTAATCATTTTGTACATTCTGAATTATTTATAAACCTGTTCTAAAAGTTATTAGATGAAGATGATATAAAATGTTAGCTATCATTTTGCTCTCAAAGATAGAAATCAGTAGGTAGTCTTTTACTTTGCTTTTAAAATATGTAAGTAGGAGTCTTTGAAGCCTCTTACTCAGTTAAATGGCTATCATGATCTACATCTTCAAAGGCATGATATGCAGTATACATAACACTGTTTATGTTCAGTTTTAGTGAATACAGATAATACAATTGCACTGGGCTTAATACTCACCTGTTCTTCTAACTTTATTTTATTTTCTGTCATCTTTTCTATGAGTTTGCCAAGTTTCTTTAAAGATTTAAGGTCACTTCCCACTTCCTTTTCTATGAATGCAGACACATTCAGGGGAAGCTCACCATCGTCTCCACCTTGTGTAAGCAGGTCACTTCCAACAAGAGCGGCAATGTTCATGTCACCTACAGACAGGGAAAGCAACTACACACATCACTGTGTTACAGGAGGCAGAAAAGCATACAGGGCTATAAAAAGGATACACAAGTTACTATACTAGATTAAAGGTTTAACTGAGGGCTGGAGATAAAGCTCAGCAGTATAGCACACTTGCCTAATGTGTACTAGACCATGGGTTCAATTCTTAGCACCTGCTAATAATTTCAAGAGTATACATCCATACTGTGTATCTAACTACATACATGTGTATCTGAGTGTATATAGATAATACCCAAAAGACAAAAACAACAGTTAATCAGCCAATTACCACAAGATGCTCACAAGCTGAGAAAGTTTAGAGCAAAAAAAAAAAAAAAACCATTTTCCAAATCTTAAGAGTTTTTTCAAGAGTCATGGGTACGACAATACATAACTTTCAAAGTTGCTAAGGAGCCAAAACTATGATCTAGAATAATATCAAAGGACAACTCTGACTTTAATATATGGGAAAAACAATGTTAAAATATCGGTTATTGAAACACAATGGAAAAAAACCGATGGTAAACTATATATAAAAAACCCTTACAGATAAAACTTTTAAAAATATTTTTATTTACTGTGAGAAAAGACTGTTAGTGGAGGGCAAAATTTATTAAACATTAAAACAAGTAATTTGGGGACTAAAGAGAAGGCTCAGCAGTTAAGAGTACTGGCTGCTCTTCCAGAGGACCTCGGTTCAATTCCCAGCACTGTCCGTAAATCCAAATCTAGGTTATCTGACATCCTCCTACAGACATACATGCAGGCAAAACACCAATGCACATAAAATAATATGAAAAAAGTAAGGCAGAGTGGAAACAAGGATGGCTGTGTGCTTTTACTCTTATCCCATTTGGATTAGGAATCTTCCTAGTCTACATTGTGCTTGAAAACTAATGTTTCCCTATAAACCAACTCTCACCCTGAAGACTCGACTTTCTTCCATTATCAAAGGATGCCAACTACACATAGTTTAAATTGCCACAAATACTTTGTGGAGTGAAGCAAGAGTCAAATACACAAACAAAAAGTTTCAAACATCTTTAAACATATTAAAACATTTTGTACTAAATAAAAGCCCACTTCAAAAGCAGTTAAATGAGTAGGTGTGGCGGTACACACCTATAATCCCAGCACTAGGGAGTAAAGGTAGAGAATCCACAGTTCTAAGCCACTTGAGCTACACAATAAAAAATGTTCTCTAAAAAAAAAAGAAAATTTTAAAGTAATTCAATCATCTCCGACTGTCCTCGAATGTACAGCTCAATAGCACTGCTATCTTGTTGATCACCTGTGCCACTGACTCAGCCACCCTGCTCCTCTGAGGGGCCTCTTGACGGCTTATTGATAGTTGAGGTTTCTTTATAAAAAATTGGTGGGTCTCTGTAGCTCAGCAGCCTTAAACTCTCTAGATAGCTTGGGATGATCTTGAACTTTTGATCCTCTTGACTCCACATTCCAAGTGTTTGTTGAGATTGTAGGTGTTCTACCACACTGTTTTATGCAGTTCTGGGTACTGAACCTAGAGCACTGAGCTTGCTAGACAAGGATTCTATCATATCTAAATGAAGATATGCCTAAGTGAAAAATGTATATGAGATACTGTTCAAATATTTATGTATAGAGTAGCAGAATATACCAAAGCAAGGTGTCTCATATCTAACTTAGGCCAGTACTCAGGGGGCTGAAGGAGAACTGATACAAATTCAAGGCCAGCTTTAACTATACAGTGAGACTGTGTCTCAAACCCCTACAAAAAGACTAATTACCAAGCCAGAGAGATGACTAGGCAGGTAAAGGTGTGCCTTGAAAGTTTTGCAAAGGAGTTCAAACAGAATTCATACAAAGGTAGATCAGGAGAACTGACTCCATAAAGTTGTCCTTTGAACTCCACAATCGAACTATGGCATGCCCACACCCACATATCACACACACACACACACACACACACACACACACACACACACACACACACACACACACTAAATAAAATAAAATATAAAAAAACAAAACAACCATAACAAATTACAAGGCCATCAAGATGGCTCACTGGGTAAAGGAACTTGCTGAAAAGCCTGATGGCCTGAATTCAATCCCTGGAATTCATACAGTGTAAGGGAAGAAACAACTCCTGCAAACTGTGTGTTCTAGGATATGCACATACACACGTGTATACACACACAAACATAAAGTGTAGAAGAACAATTACATACCGTGTATTTGCTGCCAAGTATTCATTCCTTCTCCCTTCTCTAGAAAACAATTATTATCTTTTGTTCTATTTAACTTACATAAATTAAAATATTTTGGTAAAGATGTAGCTCACTGATAGTGTACTTGTCCACCCTAAGCAAAAACCTACATTCAGTTCTCAGTTCTGCAAAAATAATGAATCAATAATTTAAGAGGAATTAGCCAGCCAGATGGCTCAGCAGGTAAAGGCACTTGCCGCTATGTCTGATGTCCTAAGTTTGATGCCCAGGACCCACATAGCAGAAGAGAGCTAACTCTCACAAGTTGTCCTCTGATCTCCACACAATTACCATAGCATGCATGCGCATGCAGCATATGCGCATGCACACACACACACACACACACACACACACACACACACAATAAAATGCAATAAAAATTTTATTTAGAAAAAAGAAGAACCAGATCATTTACAATGGATGAGAAGCAAGACGCCACTGATAGGAGAACTAAAAGACAGCTAAGTCTCAACAGCCAAACTATAAAATAAGTAATAATGTATGCCCCAGTGTATAAAGGGCTAAAAATGAAACTAAAATCATGTTTCCTGGCTTTTAATTCAAAACTACTTTATTCTCTCCATATAGGAAGTTGTTTTTCTATACCTAAACTTTAATAATTCCTGCATGTTAATCACAATAATAACTGTTACATACATATTAACATGTCTGTGGCTACAGATGTGACTCAACTGGTAAAGTGCTTGCCAATCATGCATTAAGCTTTGGATCAATCGCCCTCGCCTGGAGACACCACACGTGTGGCACACACCTATAACACCTATAACGGCAGTACCCGGCAAGTTCAGAGGCATCCTCAGCTACATTGCAAGCTTAAAACCAGTCTGGGGATACATAAGACATGGTGTCTCAAAGAATAAAATAATCCAAATGCAATCTCATCCTAAACTCTTTAATATCTTCTTAAGAGCCTTTCATAAATATAACAAATGAGTTGTGTGGAGTGTATTTGACAGAGGTAGGTTTCTGTATCCTGGGTGGGCAATTTACCATCACTTTAAACAACAATTACAACCACTACATGTAAATATTTAAATGTGTTATAATACATTCTTAAACATATGACATCCTTCAAAACTGTAAGTAGATTTATATTATCTATTTATGCTTATTTGCTTTTGAAAAAGATCTCATGTATCCCAAGCTGTTCTCAAACGTTCTAAGTGGCCAAGGATGACTCTGACTTTCAACTCCTAACCCTCATGTCTCCTCCTCTTGGGTGCTAGGGTAATAGGCATGCACAACCATACTTGGTTTTATTTTTGGTTTCTTAAGTGAGGATCTACCGTCTGGAAATAGCTCTTGCTGCTTTTATAGAAGACCGGAGTTTGATTCCCAGCATGCACAGGACAGCTTAGAACCATCTCAACTCCAGTTCCCAGGGATCAAAATCCCTCTTCTGGCCTCCTCTGGCACCAGACATGCATACAGCACACAGATATCCATACAAGCAAAACACCATAAAAAATTTTTTTAATTTAAATAAAAAAAAAAAGAGGAGAGTCTAAAAAAAAGACAGGCTCTAATTCTACGACCGAAACTGGTCTCCAAATCATGGCAATCCTTCTGCCTCAGCCTAAGGACTGGGATTTCAGACATGAGCCACCACACCTGTTTTGGGGGGCTTTTTGTTTCTTTTGGGGGGGTGTTTGTTTTTCTAAACAGGGTTTCTCTGTGGCTTTGGAGGCTGTCCTGGAACTAGTTGCAGACCAGACTGGTCTCAAACTCACAGAGATCCACCTGCTTCTGCCTCCTGAGTGCTGAGATTAAAGGCATGGGCAACCACTGCCTGGCAGCTTGGGAGTTTTAGTTTTTTTGTTTTTTTTTTTTATGGTTTTTCGAGACAGGGTTTCTATGTGGCTTTGGAGGCTGTCCTGGAATTGGCTCTGTAGACCAGGCTGGCCTCGAACTCACAGAGATCCACCTGCCTCTGCCTCCCGAGTGTTGGGATTAAAGGCATGCGCCACCAACGCCTGGCAGCTTGGGAGGTTTTTATGTCTCTCCCTTTTAATATTTTATAAAGAGCATTCAGCATTGCACAGCAGTTGACTAAGCCACTGGATACACACATACGAAGTCCTTAACAAAGCAGTTTGTACCTGACATTCTAAAATGACAGATCAGTTGATGTCAAGAGTCAAAGCATCTGAGTGGGACAAAGGCAGAGAAGGAAAGGTTTGTGTTTTTGTAGTAACATTTTGTTTATGTGCGCCACCAACGCCCAATTTGGCTCCCACCTTTAATCCCAGCAGCCACACTGGTTAGCCATAGAAGCTGGGCAGTGGTGCACACCTTTAATTCCAGCACTAAGGAGGAATATAATACGGGAGGAGACAGGAGCTCATCAGTAAGAGGTTTGGAGACAGGGCAGTCAGAGGAGCAGTGCAGTCTGGAGATGCAGTCTGAGGACAGGATCGCCCTTTCCGTCCGAGCATTGGTAGAGGTGAGAACTCTCTGGTGGCTGGCCACTTGGCTTTTCTGATCTTCAGCTTTAACCCCAACATCTGTCCTTGGGTTTTTATTATCCCTGCTACACATCTGTTTGTTTTTTGAACTTCTGAAGATTTTGTTTTTATGAGTACAGGTGTTTTGCCTTCATGTATGTCTGTGTACCACATTCATTCAATCTACAGAGGCCAGACACAGTCCCAGAAAACAGCATTGAGGGCCCTAGAACTATAGTTACAAGTGGTTGCAAGTCACCCTGTGGGTGTTGGGAATTAAAGCCAGGTCCTCTGGAAGAGCATCAATTACTCTTAACAGATAAGCCCATTTTCTGTTTGGTGGTTTGGTGGTAGTGCTTGAATTGAAACCCCCAGGTCAACGTGGGCTACATTTGAGTTAAAAACACACACACACACACACACACACACACACACAAATTAACAAAAAAGCCCCTGAAGAATACTGGATTTCTAATAACCTGCTATGCGTATCTCATTAAAGTTAAATGGCAAATGTCCACATTTCTGACAGATTTTCCTGTCCTAGGTAGGAATGGAGGTACCAGCTGTTTCCTTGTCCCGTATCCAGACCAAGACCCAAGACCTAAGTTGTGTTCTAACTGCAGCAAATTTTAGTTACAGATTTACTAACCGTTAAAGTATAATCCAACAGTTATCTAACCTCCTCCTTGAACCCAGCAACAGTGACCGGCATCACCCCCTCCTGGTTACAGCTGCTGTTTCATTAAAATAACATGCCTAGTGAAGTCATACCAGTCGGGGCACTAGGTAGGAGTCCCAAAGGAGACCCTAAAAGAGTGTGCTGGGAGGGGCAGCCCCGCAGACAGAACGCAGGGTTTGGAGCCCGCTTACTTTTCTCCTCTGTGCGCTTGATTCCGTCGCCGCCTTCGGGGCAGCCCTGGCAGAAAAACACGTGTGGCAAACAAGTTAGACTCAAGGACGTGTTGCCCACACCCCCGGCCGTCGGTCATCCCCCGGGACTAGGGGGCCCCTCCGCGGTGACCACGCCTCGGGTCACCCAGGCCGGACTCTCCCCGGGAGGCCCGAGCCACCGCAGGGTCCCCAGGGCCCCGCCCCGGGTTTCCAGGGACGCTCACCGCGGCTGCCGGGACCCTGCCCATCTCGCCAGCTGGAAGCATGCTGCCTCCGCGCGAGTCCTCGACTCCACACGCCGCCAGCCTGGCTGACAGAGCCCAGCAAGCACGGCCCCGAGCAAGATGAGCAGCTCGCCCCCAGGGAGGCCGGACGGGGCGCCACCTCGACTTCCTCTCGCCATCTCTCTGGTTCCGCTCTCTCGGGCTAGAGCGCCCTACCGGCGTCGCCGCTGTCCTGTTCCACGGCGCCACCTGCCGGTCGGCTGTCAGACCGGCCGCGCAGGAAACCCAGTGGCTCTCCTACTTCCCAGCCTGGTGCTACTGAAGATAGAATGTGCCCTAGCAGAGTGACTCACTCTTGTAATCCCGCCACGTGGGAGGTGAGGGAAGGCAGGAGAATCAAGAGCTCAAAGTCAGCTCCAGCTATGACTGAGCTCAAGCCCCCCCTTGAGTACGTGTAACGGTGTCTCAAAAAAGAAAATACTTTGGCTTTGGCCCTCTCATGGTGGCCAAGCCTCGCGATTCAGAAGCAGGGACAGGAGGATTGCCACCAATTTCTGTGTAGCTTGATCTATAGAGTGACCTCCCTGTCAGCTAGGGGGCAGCATGAAAAAAGCCTATCTCAGCATGGCTCAGCCTGTACAAGAACTTGCCACCAAAACACCTGAGTGCCTTGCCACGGAGGAGGAGAACCACCTCCTGCAAGTACTCCTTTGACCCCCACACCTCTTCATCGCCCCATCAATAAATAAAGGGTTAAAAGTTCTAGTAGTAACAAGAGAGCTCCTCCATGTCCTAGATCTTATATGAATGTACATTAGTGTAAATGTTTAGATAATATCCTGATGTTCTGAAAATGAGACTGAGTCAGAGCAGTTATTTGGTTTGGCATGGATTTGCTAAAGAATGTCGGTACCTAGATCTTTATTTAATACTTGTCAGACTGCATAGAGATGACCTTCATATTTCCCAACTGGAGAGCCCAGATCTGTTTGTTAGAGGGTTGAAGCATTCTGGAAGACTGACAGAAGAAAAACACTCAAAATCTACCATTTGCTTTGCCTGGCAGAGCCCCAAACTTCTACTGTTTTCCACGGAGGAGGAACTGGAGTTACTTAGAAGCAAGGGATAGGTAGAGAACATCTGACAACCTCACAAGCAAACCCTGGAAGGCAGTGCGTTTGACACAAAAGCAAATGGGGACCCAGCAGGGAAAAAAATCTTTATAAGAACAGAAACTACTCAGTGAAGAAAACTCACTGTGACGTAGACATATGCAGACAAAACACCTATCTACATAAAAAGAAAAGAAACTTAGGAGCCAGAAGTGCATGCATGTTACCCCAAAACTCAGAAGGCAGAGTCAAGTGAATCTCTGTAACCAGAGTCACATAAGACTATGTCTCACCAGGCGTTGGTGGTGCACGCCTTTAATCTCAGCACTCGGGAGGCAGAGGCAGGCGGATCTCTGTGAGTTCGAGGCCAGTCTGGTCTACAGCGCGAGTTCCAGGACAGCCTCCAAAAAACAATACAGAGAAACCCTGTCTTGGAAAAAAAAAAAAAGACTATGTCTCAACAAATAAATGTTGGGGTCTGGAGAGGTGGCTTCAGCAATTCAGAGTACTAACTCTGCTCTTCCAAAGAGTTCAGATTCACTTCCTAGCACACCCAGCAGCTGACAACTGGCTGTAACTCCAATTCTAAGGGAGTAATTTCTAGACTCCAGGCACCAGAACACACTAGTATACCAGCAAAACATCCAGATGCTTTAAAAAATAAAAATAGTGAAATAAATTAAAATTTTAAAAATAGGCAGTGGTGGCACACATATTTAATCCCAGCACTTGGAAGGCAGAGGCAGTCAGATCCCTCTGAGTTCGAGGCCAGCCTGGTCTACAGAGTGAGTTTCAGGACAACCAAGGCTACACAGAGAAACTCCATCTGGACAAACCAAAAAATAAAATAAAAATAAAAGCAAATAAAATAAAAATTATATCACATATTTGTATTTGAATCAGCTGACATTGGGAAATTAATTTAGTAACTTGCCATGCCCAGGAGTATGAGACTGTACAAAAATAAGTGAAATGAGCCAGTTGTGGTGGCACACACTATACTTGGGGGGCTGAGGGAGGAGGGGCTTGAATTTGGGTCCAGACTATCTCAAAAAGAAAAACGTGAGTGAATTAAGGACAATGGAAAGAATTTAGGTAGGAAACTGAGGTGAATAATCCTAAAGGAAGGCAATGTATGACTGTGGAGGTTTGAATGAGAGAGGCCCCTATAGGAGCATATGTTTCAATACTTGGTCCCAGTTGGTAGAACAGGGAAAGAGTAAGAGGTGTATGTAGCCTTGTTGGAGGAGGTATGTCGATGGCAGCTGGTTTGGAGGTTTCAGAAGCCCACACCACGCCCGATGTTCTCTACCTGTGGATCCAGGTGAAAGCTCTCAGCTGCTCCAGTGTCAGCCTGCTGCCACACTCTCTACTCTGATTGTCATGTACTTACCCTCTGAATGTAAGCCCCAATAAGCTCCTTTTTCTTGGAGGTGACATCTCCTTACAGTAGTAGGACAGTAATTAAGACAATGAATCATTTAGCTGAATCTTCACATTAAGACCATATTTTAAGAAGTCGTCTTGGGTTAGGGAGAGTCTTTATACATTGTAAATATGCAATGCTCTCATTGTTAATAAAAAGCTGATCGGCCAATAGCTAGGCAGGATTTTCAGGGCAGAAAGCATGCTGGGAAGAAGGAGGGCAGAGTCAGAGGAGTCACCAGTCAGATGGGAAGGAAGCAGGACACACAGAAGAGGCAAAAGCCAAGAGCCTCGGGCAGCGCATCAATTAACAGAGATGGGCTATTTAAGTTGCAAGAGCGGGGTAGCAATAGACCAGATCTATCCGTTGAGCATTTATAATTAGTAAGCCTTTGAATGGTTATTTGGGAAGCACCTGGCAGAACAGAGCTGACCACGATCCTGATGAAAAACTCCACCTACAGAGAGATGGTTTAGTCAATACAGCATACACTGTACAAGCATGAGGACTGAGTTCAGATCTTGGTACTCATGTAAAAAGTTGGGCACAGCAGATACCTGTAATACAAGCATTAGAAAGACAGTATCCTTAAGCGCTCCAGCTAACCACTCTAGTCAAATAGATGAGCTCCACAGTCAGTGAAAAACTTTATCCAAACAAGGTAGAGGGGCCATCAAGATGGCTCGGAGGGTGAAGGCACTTGCCAAGCAAGAAGGAAAGAACCTCTGGCCTCCACATGTAGGCATGCACGCACATACACACATATCATAAGCACGCAATAAATAAATAAATAAGGTAGAAAGTGATAAAGGAAAACACCCAATATGGCCCTCTGGTGTCCATGAACTCAGAACTGAGCATAGTCTTAGCTACTTTCCTGTGATAAAACCAACTAGGGGAGAAAGGGTTGATGATGACTGATGTTCAAGGATACAGACCATTACGGAGGGGAAGCTAAGGACCCTGCAGAGGGGAGAAAGGGTTGATGATGTTCAAGGATACAGACCATACGGAGGAGAAGCTAAGGACCCTGCAGCAGCTGGTCACATAGCATCCACAGTTGGAAACAGAGTAATGGAATGCTAACACTGAGCTCTCTCTTTCTATGACACCATAGGTTCTCATTCTTCCTGATGCCGCAACCCTTTAATATAGTTCCTCATGCAGTTCCCAGACATAAAATTACTTTTGTTTCTACTTCATTTTGCTACTGCTATGAATCATAATTTAAATATCTGATATTTCCAATGGTCTCAGGCAACCTCTGTGAAGAGGGGTCACGACCTACAGGCTGAGAACCACTGATTTATGCAGTCCAGAATCCCAACCATCGCTGGTTGGGATTCTGGACTGCATAAATCAATGTATGTGAGCCTCCCGTTTCAATTAACCCAATCAGGATAATGCTGCATAGACACAACCAGAGGCCTATCTTACAGGTAATTCTAGATCCTGTCAATTTGACAAGTAAAACTAATCATGACATATGTGAACATATACACAGAAATACAACAAACACAAGTCTAAGAGAAATACAAAGATTTGAAATAGCATTCCAATCAGGATAATGCTGCATAGACACAACCAGAGGCCTATCTTACAGGTAATTCTAGATCCTGTCAATTTGACAAGTAAAACTAATCATGACATATGTGAACATATACACAGAAATACAACAAACACAAGTCTAAGAGAAATACAAAGATTTGAAATAGCATTTTTATTTGAGATGAGCTCTTACCTAACCCATGTTGATCTAGGATCCCTTACATAGCCCTAAATGATCTTAAGCTTCTGGTCCTCCTGTCTCCATCACCTCAGTGCTGGGAAAGTGATTCTTTTTTCACTATTGTTCACTATGTAATAGGATGCAACAAAAAAAGGGTCATAATATCTGAACATGATCAAAACAAAATACAAGCATGGAAATATTGACAGGAAACCCATTCAGTGAGTACGCGCTCTTAACTATAATAAAAGGCTTTAACTGTGAAAGAAGCTCTCACTCCAGCGCAGTTAACAACTAAAAGGGCAGTCTCTGTCTTCGGAGTCCTAAAGGTGCTCAGAATTTTTTGTATAGGGCGGAGCGTCCTCCGGAACCCGCGGGCGTGTGAGGCGAGCGCCGCCCAAGGGCGTGGTCTGCGCAGCGGTGCCCTGCGCAGCACGTGTGCGAGGCCAGCGGCTGATGGGGCGTCTGGTACGAGTGAGTTTCCTCGCGGTGTAGGCTCTGCTGGTCGGCGCTGGCCTCCGAGTGGTCCCCGCCCTCCTGCGTCCCAAGCCTAGCGCTTTCTTCGCCGCTCGGCCCGCGCCGCAGGCTCCGGGTAAGTGCGCGGCCCCAGGCCTTCGGAGAGGCGCGGCCGCAGACGGCGGCTGGAGCCCGCGCCGCCACGGGTTTCTCGGCCTCCTGCTCCACATTCCCCGCTCTCCGGTGTCTGCCCCATGCTCCCCGATCCAAGGTCCCAGTCCCTTATTTACCTATTCGTGCTCCGGACCCCAGGTCTTCGTCCTGGTTCTTAGGCGGCGCTGTGTCCGGGTCCCTTCTTGGGCCGCTGCGCTGTGGCCCGGAACCTTTTCCTTCTACTTCCTTGCTTGGAGGAGCCTCAGACGCTCCCCAAACTCATCTCGCTCTTCGAAAAACAAACCAACCTTTCCCCCA